GAAAAAGAAAATGAAATGCGAAGAATCTTCGATCTTTCATTCTCCCCGCAGATTCGAACTCAAAGCGAAAACTAAGAAGGGAGAAAACTTATGGAATGCCATTTTACGTAGATAATTTGTTGATTTATTTTCACGCTTTTAAATGTATTTTAATTGTGATATCAAAAATAAGGAAGATAAATTTTTAGAATCAACTTAACAATTGGAAGAAAAGTTTTAAATTTTAGTAATTTAGTAGAAGCGATTTTAATTATCTTTGAATGTTGTTTTTGACTGAATGATAAATTAAATTGAGTAAAGCTTCAAAATGCGCGCGACTACATATCCTGAGCACAACAAAATCACAACATTCAAACTATTTTATTTCCTTAAATACTTATGTAGGACACGCTTTCTTCTCTTTCTCTACTTCTTTGTCTTTCTCTTCACTCGCGTCGGTTTTTTGATTTATTTTTATAAGTTTTTTTAATATTTCTTTTTTGTTATTATCATGCATCTTGAGTCGAAGGTTTAATTACAGTTATTAGTCTTTGTTTATTTATGTATGAATTTGTTGAGACATAAAACAAACAATTGAAAAAGAAAATGAAATGCGAAGAATCTTCGATCTTTCATTCTCCCCGCAGATTCGAACTCAAAGCGCGCCTCAATCACGTCCTCAAACGGCTGTTCATATTCGTCCCCAACAACAAAGCACACAGGTGCGCGTTCAGAAAAATCATTCAAATGCAATTCAAGCGACAAAAGCTCAGGCAACTGGCGGTGCGCAAATGAAACAAATAATATCTTCTAATAGCGTAAATATCAATAATAATAGTAATAGTAATAACAATAATAATAACACAAAAGTAAATAACAACAAGAGTCAAGTGTCCATCGCTGTGGTATCGACGCAGAATAGCACGCCCACGCACGTGGTGAATAGTAAATTGAGCACTAGTCCTAATAGTAAAGCTCACTTCACAAAAACTGTATCCGTTTCCACTTCTAATCATTCCCATCCTTCGACACCAACGACACCCACAAAATCACCAACATTTAATAACAAAACCACTCATGAAAAAAAATCTCAGGGTTCGGGAGCGAAGACAAAGGATAAGAAAACTTTAGCATCTGTGGTAGCAGCAACAGCTGCAAGTGGAAGTGGCTCAGCATTTTATCCATCAACATTTGGTGACGATGACATTAATGATGTGGCTGCAATGGGCGGCGTTAATTTAGCTGAAGAAAGTCAGAGAATTCTTGGATCAACTGAATTCGTTGGCACACAAATTCGATCATGTAAGGACGAGGTGCTACTTAATCTTCCACTACTACAGCAAAGAATACGTCAACAAATGGCCCGTCATGGTCTCGATGAACCATCATCAGACGTTGCTGTATTAATTTCTCATGCAGCTCAAGAGCGACTGAAAAATATTATCGAAAAATTGGCAGTGATAGCTGAGCATCGGATAGATATTTTAAAGGTATGACGAGCATTTCTCACCTCTTTCTTACTTTTTAATTTTAATCTTCTATCATCGCAGATTGATCCTCGTTATGAGATAACTTCGGACGTCCGTGGACAAATAAAATTCCTTGAAGAGCTTGACAAAGCAGAACAGAAACGACACGAAGAAGTTGAACGTGAAATTCTTTTACGTGCTGCAAAATCACGATCAAAAACAGAAGATCCAGAACAGGCGAAGCTTAAAGCAAAAGTAAAATTTTCTTTTTTCATTTTATCTTTCATTAGTTTAATTAAATTCTGTGTTTGTTCAGGCCAAAGAAATGCAACGAGCTGAGATGGAAGAACTGAGACATCGTGAAGCTAACAACACAGCATTACAAGCCATTGGACCAAGAAAGAAACCCAAAATGGATCCAGATGCTTCAACGGTGACGGTAAAGTTTTTCATTGTTATTAATTAAACTTTTGTTTCATAATTTTTTTTTGTTCCAGACGCCATCAAGTGGAGTTATCGGTGGAACACCAACAGGAATAAAAACACCAGCTCAACCGCGACCTCGAATTAAACGAGTCAATATGCGTGACATGATTTTCTATATGGAACAAGAAAAGGATTCTTGTCGCAGCACGATGCTGTATAAAGCTTATCTCAAGTGATTAATCGATGGCCCGCCCAGATGGTTCAACACTCTTGTTACGTTTTCTTATAATAATTGTTTACATTTATTTTTTCATTCGTTTTTCATTCTCTTTTCCGTATCTTCATCATTTCTCGCATAAGTATAAAAACCAAAATTGTTGTGGCGGTAAAAATGCTGAAGCATTTGCAATAGAATTTTTAGTTAATTAATACAATTGAAAAATTAAGAAAGATAAAAAAACTGATGATAGTTGATAGTTTTTTATTAAAATTTAGTTTAAAAAAAACGATGTTGGGACGGATTGGAGAATCGTTACAAAAACTTTAATGTTTTGTATGAAAATCGTGTCGTGTCGTGGGAATGTTTTGGAAAGAAATTAGAGAAAACTTTCTGTATAACAAAATCCTTTTATAAATTAATAATTGAATATCGTTTATGGAAAGCTTTCTGTCATTATTGCTTTCAAATATCATTCTTCTAGATAAAAACAGCAAAAGCGGGAAAACTTTCTTGTAATGAAAAAGGAAATTCCAAATCACCAGCATCGATAAATTCATTTATTCTGACTTCTTTTTAATATCTCATCGCTTTATCTCACTCTACCAAACACTCAAACAGAGAATTTAATTTTTATTCTTTCATTTTAAATGATTTAAAATAAAAGTTCTCGTCATTAAAAGTCAATTTCATATTAGAGCATTGCGATGGCTTTTAAGTATGATGAAAGGAAGCAGAAATAAGAAAATTAACTCATGATTAAGGTTGGTGAAACTTGAAGATTACTACAGCATGAAAGTTTTAAAGAATAAGCGACAGGCTCTAAGTCTGTCTCTAAAATCAGGAAGTTTTCAAGCCATCTCCGCTCTGAATGTTTCAAAAAACAATTTTTGTATTTAGATAATAGTTTAGCACAATTTTTCACCCATTAAACGTAAAAACATACAAAACGAAATATTTCCTTCAACGAATATTTTTCTTTGAATCAAAAATTTGCAATTATCATTAAATATAAACTCAACAAGATAAAAATGTAAAACATTTCATAGGCTTTTCACCCTTTTTCCATTTTCATTTGGTCACAAAAGAAATAAATTGTCCTGTGATACAATTTATACAGAACGAGGCAAAATCAAACTCCAATGTCCATTTCTAATCGGAAATTAGTGTTGGAGTTTGAAGAAAGAGAACAAAAAATTGACGCAAAATTTATTAAAGAAATTCACTGCCGAAATTAAAAAGAAGGATGAAATGATTGGAGACAGTTGAGAAATAAGGATGATACCAAAAGATGCTCTAAACTTTTAAAATAACATAATTGCTGTTAATGAATCATACAAACGAAAATGACCTTTCGCAAGTCAGATATCTAAGAAAATCACTTGAAGGAAACAGAAGAATTTTAAATGCTAAAGTTTCTATTTAAAGCAAAACTTTCACTGTAAATAAGAAGTAAGGAAAATGTGTAAATATATAAGAAAAACTTATTTTTGAAGATTTCTAGCTTATAAGCAGTTTTTATCCCTCAACGAAAAGAAACCTTGTTACATTCATTAACAAACCTGCGTAATGAAAGATAAAAAGAAACGCTAGGAAAAGTTTTGAATCTAAATATGGACATGTGCATAATATTTATGAAAAATTGACGATTAGAAAACAGTAAATCTAATTAAATAAAATTGAATTGAATTGTTTCTAAAAATATATTTTTGTTTTGTTTTTTTCCATCTTTAATTCAACATCTTTAAATCAAAATTAATAATGAAATCAGAAAATTAATTCCATAAAATTAACGGTTATTTATATTTCAAAAAGAAGTTGAATTGTGTCTCGGCTAGGTTTTAAAAATTTGTTTACAATTGCCGGCTTTTTAAATTTCTTCTCATTTTAAAAGTAAAATCGTAATTTAAAGTAACCATGATAACGTCTCAAACTTCAAGTAGCTCATTGAATAGTGTAAGCTCGTTGACAAATGAGATTTCTTCTGGATATCCTGAAAAATTTAAAGAATGTTGTGTTATTGCAAGAAAAGTTTATATTGATCATCGTGAGAATAAAAAGTCTTTGACAGTAATTGTGACTTCGCATTGTGAATTGATTGAATGTATAGAAAACGAAGTTTCCAATTACATTAATTTCAACCATGAAGTGACATCGATTGAGGACAATGAGTTTATTACTTCTGATAATGTCGATTTTGATGTGATGACTTTGATTTCTGATATTGTTGTTTATGTTGTCAGAATCAAATCTGTTTTATTGACGATAAAAAGAAAATCATCTCAGTTGAAGATATTAAAAGTTTTCTCCAATGTTGATTCCTTCAATATCAAATACAATAAAAATGAAAACAGCGCAGCAATTTTTGTGACATTCCATGATAAGTCACAGAGGAAAATAAATCCTCATTGTGATGATCTCGATGATTTAAATTGTATAAAAAGTGAAAAATTTATGAAAATGATTCAATATGCGACGGGTAAATCGAAAAAAGCTCGTTTTTTACTGGAAAGCATCTCTAAAGATATTGAAGAGTTACATTTCATGAGCACGAAACATCTGCCGCGTGTGTTACTTTCAGAGGTAAAATAATTTTTCATTTGCTTCTCGTTGTGAATGCTAAACACTTATTTGTCTTAAGGATCCCAATGATAAAACACCTTTAGTGAGATATGGCAGCATCTGGACGAGAATTCTAAATGAAAAACTCATTATTGGCATTCCAGTTCTTTGTGTTAGTAAAAGGTGAGTTAAATTATGAAAAAATATCATTTTATTACGTTTTTGCTTTAACAAATTTTCAAAGTGGACAAAGTTTATTAAGATCTACGGAAAACATTTCATTTCTTCTAACTATTGTTGAATCGAAGTAAGAAGCAATTTACATGTTTTGATCTGAAACTATTGGGAAACATTTCGTATTAAGATATTAAATTTGACATTTGCTTTCTAGAATACAATTCTATTGCTCATTGCGTAATGAAATTTTATTCAAATGGTTTCTAGAATTAATGTCGGGGGATTAATTTTCGTTGAAGTTTAGAGGTTTCCTTCTGACGACTGAATCATTGATTTAGTTTCTTTAATGGCTTTAACTCCAACTTTCTTGGAATTTTTGAACAAATTTCAATTCCTCTAAGTAATTTGTCTTTTTCTAAAATTAATCAATATCACAAATTTCTCTTACTTGCTTTCATTATTTGTCTTAAGTGTATAATTAAGTAAATTTATCTTCTTCTTCATCTACTTTAATTAAATTCAAAGCATCTTCATCAGAAAAAGTTTCGAAATGCCTAAAAGAATTTTTAATTGATCTCAAACATTATGAATGCTCAAAAAGTTTTCATTCTTAGAATTTCAAGTCGAATTCATTAATTAATTTTGCATGATTTAAAGCTCTAAAGTTTAAAACTTTCTTTCTTTCTTTTTTACTTGTTGTTTAATAAAACTCGTTAACAAATGAAGTGCAATGAGATAAAATTAACTTTTGAATGTATTCGAGTTTGAATGAATAAGAAGTCTGACGACTTTAACAAGAAATTTTCTTAATTTTCAAAAGCGGAAATGAAAACCTTTTTTAAAAAGGAAAAAAAGTTTTAAATGTACTCCTAGGAAAAGGGTAAAACTTTTGCTTTATCAATGTTTAGTTGAACATATTCTACGCTGTTGCTTTTCACTGACGATGGATCGTCTTCTCGTGCGATTTTAATGAACTCGTCAGGGCTGTAATCGAAAAGTTCAAAATCGTATTTAAACACCTGGTAAAGGCCTTTGACTTGAGATTTGGTCAGTTCAGCGTAATGACTCATTAACAGCTCGTTGGTGTTTTTCCCTTTTCCTGTGTTCTTATGTTCCGGCTTAATTATACTTCCTAAACCCGCTTTTTCGATCAAATATTTTTGATCGTCCTCAAAAGTCTCAAATTTCGCAATCACATCGAATTTCACTTGACACGGTGTACAAAAATTCGTGACTGGCGTCCAATGCATGTCGAGATACGTGTTGGCCTTTGCTTCGAAAAGAAGAAAATCAACAAACTCGGGAAATGTTGGCCAGCGTGAACCAAGCTTTCTTTGCTTTGAATGTTGATTTTTCGAGTGAACGGAATTCATGAGTGGATGAAAAGCGTTATCAGCTCGTTCAAAATTCACTGCTTTGCGATACTTTCGCACAATCATGTTGCCTAATTTCTGGTGGAAAGTATGTGGAAGTGCGTACTTTAATTTATCATTATACGCACTTAAAAGCCTCTCAAAAGGATGACGAACAATAAGGAAGCTGATTGATGTGTTGAGAGCTTCGCTGAGCTATTCAAATAAAATGAAATGAACAAGAACATTAATTTTGTTTGTCCTCAAGCGTTGCAAAGAAAATCACAGTAAACAAACTCACTTGTGCGACGGATGGTCGGGGATATTTCTTCCTTGCCAACGTCAACGGAACGACTTGAGATTTCTTTAAAAATTGTGGCGAATAGCCAGCTAATAAATTAAAATTATACATCCAAGAGGTTGATGCTGCTTTGAAAACGTTACACCACACGAGATGATATTTCTTGTTTATTAAAAACTCCCATGGATTAGGTTTATGAAGTGAATCGTTGCCTGTAGAATATTCAAACGATGTTAAAGAAATAAATTCTTTGGGTGAAGTAAAAGACCACGAAAAATTATTTCAAAGTTTTTCAATTCGTGGTTTTCAGCTTCACCCAATTAATTAACATACCTGCTTGATCCAACCCGTAAAATGCACATCGCTCTGTTAAATGCCAATTTCTGAGCATCATTCTAGCTTCAATCGCTTCCATTTCACTTTGTGTCAAAGGCTTTGCCTGGTTTTCATTTGACGATTGATCGTTGGTGTCGTTTCCAAACTAAATAAATAAAAGAAATAAATATAAATGTTAAATCAATTAGGAAAGATTGTTAGACGTCAACGATTGATTAATTCGAAATTGACACGCTACAGACAGCGAGAAAATTTAAATTCGATGACGAAAGAAAATTGATTGATAAGTGAAGAGTGTGGGTGGGTAGAAATTTGAATAGAAGTCGTTTTGATACATTAGCTATAACTTCTACTGAAACCGTTGTTTGCTTGTGCTTTGATGTTCAACATAAAGCGCTTACTTAAAAAAGCTCAAGGGATTAATTTTGTATAATTTTCATATTCAAAAACTTTGCGTTTTAGGCTGTTCTAGAAAATTAATCCAAATGACGAAGGGAAAAAGGGAGCAAGACAAGAAAAATTGATAAATTATGATAACAAGTGGGGAGGGAAAAGGAAGGAACGTTATCCCATTTGACTTGACGTGCCACCACAGCTAAGTAAGCTGAAGATTTAGCTAATAAAACAATCTATAGTCACGCGAGATTTTCATACAAATCATTAACGATTAAATATTTATTCAGCGTGAGCTTTCATGTTTTTTTTTCATCTGATAGTTTTAGCTGTTTTACATTTCGAGCGTCCACGTTCGTTTCCGTCTCCAACCCTTTATCTGAGTGGTCATTACCACCCATGTCAGAATAATCAAATCAAGTCGATAAGATTGTTTAGTTTGACGTCATTGTCGTTAAATCAATCGATGTATATTTGATGAGATAAGAGAAACATGACTTGAATTATTGGTTTTTAATGTTTGTGCCATCGCTTGTAGGTGCGTGTTTGACTGATTCTTATGATGTGAGTTAATTGAATGGTTTTCATGGTGAATTAAAAATTAATTTGAATATTAATCTTCAGTCAGAACTAAGAGCTTTCATTCATTTTCTCATTTCTCATCCCTTAAATCCATCCCTCGCTTCGACTTAAATTGTGAAAGAAAAGCTTCGTCATTACCTAAATGAATGGAAGAATTACGAGAACTGAAGCGTTACTGATGATATTTGTTGCTGTCCATCCAAACATGACAAGCACTTCTATGCTTCCTTCATATTTATCTGAATTACTCAATTTGTCTTTAACTAAAATCGTTTTTTCTTTTCGTCCATTTAACTGTGAAAATTCTCATTTTTTCGCATTTAACGTCAATCACTTTGACAAGTCAGAGAGAAAAAGTTTTTTTTAATGAATTATACAATTTCATATTATTTTTCATGTTTGTGAAATCTGTTTTGTTGTTAATAAAGCCTTAGAATGGTTAACAACCTTTTTTTTACTGTCTGTAGTCTTATAATTTCAGAGTGTCACTTACTTGTTCAGCAACTTTACAAACTTGCGCTTTGCAAATCATTTATCTAACATCGTTTTCATTTCGATTATATTAAATATAAAATGCAATTTCAGTTTCGATTACAAAGCATAAATTGTCTGCTAATATACGAGTTGATGTCGTTAAAATTTACAAAAATTAAAATACTTTGACTATTGCTGTTATATATGTTCATGTGTTATTAAGTTATGCAGAAAAGCTTTCAAATAATGCGAGTACAACTTCGACGAACTGTGAACTACTTTCTGAGGCATTTTTCGCGTCATTAAGCTCACAGCTTCATGTTGTTTTCTTTATGGAATTTTGTCAATGTATAATTTCAATTAATGTCGTGTTGTGACGAAATAAATTCATGGGGCGCTTATTTCATCTTTCAAGACATAAACAAGACAGCAGCTCCTTCTGACATTTTTCTTCTGTGCACAGCTAAATTAAAATATCTGAATGAAAGGAGGGTCTCTAAGGGTTGATTCTTTCTCATTAAATGGCATGTTAATGTTGGTAAATGATCGTAATTCGTTATCGATTTTCAATTGGAATGCAATGCAACGAATTGAAATAAAATGTGCGTTGATTATTCTTTGAAACTTCAGTCAACACTAAACATTTGAATCAGTTTGTTGCTGTGAATTGCGATTGAAAGTAAGATGACAGTTATTTTAGTTTCGGTTAGTTTATTTGTTTACGGATGTTTGGCGATGCCATTGGAAATTTCTGAAAATAGAGTCCAGAAAAGATCGATTGGGGAAGAATTTTTTGCAACACCTTCCATTTCAACAATTTCCCTTGGAGCTCCAACAATCACTTCACACACTCACACCCACTCAACGGCTATTATTGATCGGCCCGTCGCTTATCCCGCGATTACTTCCACCTCCATCCTTCCATCAACAACCTACAATTTTGGATTAGGTTCATATCCTTACAGCTTTGGATATTCTTTCAGAACATTGGGCCTTAGCGGAAGATATTATTCAGATTACGGAAAATTCTACCCGAGAAGTTTCCCTTCAGCCATCTACAAGAAATCATTCTACTCATCTCCAGTTTTGAAATACAAATGGTGATGGTGATTTACAACTGAAATCATACTCGTCCATAAAACCATCAACATGTATTACATCGAAACGACAATCTTTCTTCATGTTGTTTATTTCTATTTATCAGACGTCAATTCGTTAAGGCAATAAAGTCACCAATAAAAACTGAATAAAAAGAATAAAATTTCCTTTTCTTTTGAGCGCTATGCGACACTCCCTAAGCGGATTATTCTCATGCTCGTTTCCTTCATTTCTTAGTCTTTTGTCAAATCAAAATTAAGGTTAAATTTGTTGTTAAATAAGTTTGTTTATGTTCAAGTGAACATAAAAGTAATATCAAATGTGATTTTGATGTCATATTGACACGCAACGATTCATTGAAGGCTTTTTTTGTCTTTTTTGTTTGTAATTTTGTGAAGAAATTGTTTTCCTTTCTTTCTATTCGTTAAGTTGTGATATTAGGAAATGATAGGGAAAACAATTCAATCAAAAAGTCATTTGTTAGGAAATTAATTGACAATCTACCAAGCATGAAAATCAATAGAAACTAAAATAAGAAAATTACCATCAAAGTTAAATTGAAGAAAACTTTTCCAGGATGAATTTTATTGATTGTAAATATTTGAAGATTTTCTTTATTTGTCTTCATTTCATCAATCATAATTTTAAATGTAAACAATCTACTTTGAAACTTTTTTGTTTACATCCTTCCATCTTCTATTGACAGTTAATTTGTTTACAAATTTTGATTGAATGAGAAATTCACTTTCATTTCTTGATTGAAAAGAAAAACTTTTTGATGAAAAATTTCTTATTAATGATGAATAAGTTTCACTTTAACACGAATTGTCAGATGATCAGCATGCGGTATTTCTTGTAAACACACGACTGAGTTGAATGATTAGATCAACATTAGTTTAAATCGTGATAAACTCTACGATGTTTCGCTTGAATACGAAACTCGATCATTTGATGATGTAATGTCATGTCACTAGTTCTCATCTATTTATTATTCCAATAGCCTATAAATGGACAGCTGATTACATACATTTGCGTCATTAAAATGGCCTTCAAAGGTATGCATTACGCTGACAACTGACAATAACAGTGCTGCACTTCATAATTGATTCAATTTCTTATTTATGACAATCACAAGTCGCTTTCAGCTTTGAGCCTCTCCCCAAACTCCACCTCAACTATCATCAACCGATGACAATTTTACTGTTTTATGCTGCACATTTAAAATTCCATTTGCGTTGCACAACGAGATTGAACACCGTCTGCTCTTGTTTTTCTCTTCACAAAAATGACTTACTGCTCTCGATTTGTCGACGATGCGTGCAGCATCTCATTTGAAGGAAATTCCTTTAGTTGTACGTTCAACTCGGACTTTAATTTACTTACGTGTAAAAGGGGTTGCTTAAGTTTTTTTCAGCTAAAGAAAGTGTGGAAAATTCGGCTTGTTTATGAATGATTAATGACATGAACAATTTCTCCCCTTTTTGTGTCCATTTGGGCTAAATGATGAAAGTTCAAAATCGTCGTCCAAATGGATAATTTAATCAAATTTGATAATCAAATTCGATTTGTACTCGAGAAACTAAACATGGTTAATTAAACAATATTTACCCCTTGACTCAACTATTTTTACTTTGTAAGCGACGATTAAAGAGCGAAATAAAAAAAGAACTTTTTTCCTGCTTTCCCTTCCACTTCACAATCGACACATGTTTTTAACTTTTAATGCATTTGTGTTGTTTGTTACAAGTTAAAATTGCAACAAACACACAATGAGGGATGCTAAATCCGATTACAGATGAAGTTGTGGAAAAATGCAAAATGAAAGAAATGGCGAATTAAATTTCGATATAAAAACAAATTGAATGCAATGAAATATTATCATTCAACATCTGCATTTCGATTGAAAAAGTTGTCAACTAAAGACAAGTGCCATGAAAACATTTCTAGCTTTAGTGTTTGTTGCATGTTGTGGCTGTTTAATTGAAGCATCAGAACTAATTAAAAAAGAAGAACAAAATGATGTGAAACAAGAAAAAAGATCATTGAGTCATGAAACATGGAGTAGTGGGTATAATCCGAACAATTATCCAAGTAACGCTTGGTCCTATGGTTCATATGGCCTTGCAGGAACCGATGGAATCATTTCTAGTGGAATTGGATCGGGTGGAATCATTTCTAGTGGAATTGGATCGGGTGGAATCATTTCTAGTGGAATTGGATCCGGTGGAATCATTTCTAGTGGAATTGGATCGGGTCGAATCATTTCTAGTGGAATCGGATCAGGATCCTTCATTTCTAATGGAATAGGAACAAGCAGAATCATCTCCAGTTCACTTCCATCAGGCGCAATTATTGCTGGCGGTCCTGGATCTGTTGAAACAGATGCTGAACTTATTCCACCAGCTTATGTGCCAACAGGCTCATCAGCTACGTTTGGCGGTTCTGGATCTGTTGAAACGGATGCTGAACTTATTCCACCAGCTTATGTGCCAACAGGTTCAGCAACTACTTTTGGAGTGTCAACAAATACAAACACATTGACAACAGTTCGTCAAAATGTCCCCGTCCCTGTCCCTGTTGACAGACCAGTCCCAGTGTAAGTTGTTACAACTTTGATCATAAATTTGGAAAAAGTTGACGATGGATTTTTGATCTTGACATTAGTGACCGACCCGTGCCAGTTCTTGTTAAGCAACCAGTGCCATATCCAGTAGTGAAAACAGTCACTGTTGACCGTCCCGTTACACAATACGTCCCACAACCTTATCCTGTTGTGAAGCATGTTCCTTATGAAGTAAAAGTGCCAGTGTAAGAATTTATTCGCCATTTCCAAAGTTTCTAAATGTCATTCCATGGAAATTAAACCGTTGACATGGTTTTGAAGTGAACTCTCAACATCCAAGCGTTGTAAACAGATGAAAATGTTTTGAGAGTAAACAAGTCGATTTAGGATGAAAATTGAAGAGACTTTTTGCTGATTTGTGTCATTTCAGAGATCAATTTTCATCACAAAATGTTTTCCTTTTTTCTCATATTTACTCATAAACTTATTTCTGTTTATAACTGATGACTTGAGCTTTGACTTTCAATCTTGTCAAGATCAGATTACGAAATCAAAATTGTTCGTTTTTCTTTTGCTTTAGGCCACAACCATATCCTGTCGAAGTTGTCAAGTAAGTTCTTGATTTCCTTTTTATTTACGAATTGATTTAATTTTCTTGAATGTTTTTCTTCCCTTCTTAAGGCATATTAAAGTGCCGGTTCATGTTCCGCAACCTTATCCAGTTATCAAGTAAGCTTCTTCAGCTTCATTGACAGATTGAATTTTTCCATTTATGACATTTTTTTCTTGATTTATAGGAAAGTTCCAGTTCATGTGCCTGTGTAAGAATTTTAAATTTCAGATTTGTTTCTTTCAATTTTCACTTTTAAATTCTTCAGACCTCAACCATATCCAGTTGAAGTAATTAAACATGTGCCACATGCAGTGTAAGAAATTTCATCTACTCAAAAATGTTTCTTGTTGCTAAGATTTTTAACGTAATTTATAGGCCTGCCCCATATCCAGTTCCAACGCCTGTCGACCGTCCATATCCAGTGTAAGATTTTTTGTCTTTTGTTTCTTTCATTGTCTTGTTAATTGACGTAATTTCTCTACACTTAGCCCTTATCCAGTGCACGTTGAGAAACCAGTTTGGCCATCATTTTCAATCCACAAAACAATTCATTACGAAAAGCCTTTCCATTCATTGAAAGCAAAGCTTTGGAATGCATGGTAAATGATGAAATGAACCGTAACTGAAACAGCTTTCTCATTATGCTTACTCGAATGTAAAAAGAGTAAGACAAATTGATTTGTGATTAACTTTTAATCATGCCAGTTAATGTAAATAAATTTGTCAAGTGATATAAAATTTTTGAAACATATTTTTGTTTGTTTTTATTTTGTTGTTGATGCTTTAGATGAATTACGATTAATAAAATGTTTGATGACTCTGAGTCCCACTTAAGTGAATAGCCATGACATAAAAGATTTCTTTTTTATATATTTTTTCGTCATCACAAACTGCGTCAATTCAATCAGAATCATCGAATGTTAAAAGTTTTAAAAGAACCTTTTTCGGTTGTCGTGACAAAATTTTCGGGTCGTTTCACATTTTGAAACGTAATGAAGGAGCTTCCAAAGATGCTGGTGGAAACATTATACAAAGAATGCTTGCTGCTATCATGTAGAAATTTTCTTTCTCATCGATAAATTTCTCGAGACATTCTTGAAGTAGAATAAAAATCAACAAGATGTGACACGAGCGTAAAATTTCTAAAGATTCTTCGACTTATGATACGACGAAGAATAAAATCGATGAAGGAAATTTTCAAAGACCTCGCTAAATGATTGATTGAACACTTTATTTATGTTTCATGTCAGCATAAAGTGAATTGCGATTCTTGTAAATTCAAACCAATCGATTGCAATTAAAGAAAAAGAAGAAAAAAAATTCTCTAAAGTAAACATGGAAAGACAAATTTAAAGTTTTGAGATGACGGTCGATAATTTATCCATAAAAATGAACGTTAACTGCTGACCAATTTGTCAACAACCATTTATAGTGTAAAAGTCGGAAAAAATCATTTCAAGTTGCAGAAGTCAAGCATTTCTTAAGTAAGTTTATTTCTATGTCAAATAGTTGCGATAATCTTCGACTTTTGAGTTGCAATTCTTTGAAATAACTTTGATTTGGTTCTTCTTATAAAAGAAGCAAACAATTTCTTAAAACGAATCAATTGACAGAAGAAGTTTCAAGTGGTAAAGTAGAGTTGAGGAAAAATAAAGTTTAAAAGCATGAAAGTTTTTGTAAGTTTAATGAATTAAGTTGCGAAAGTTTTTCTGACTTTTCTTGATTTATGAACAGATTGTGGGCGTTCTTCTTGTCGGTGTTGTTCTAGCGATTGATGATAAGAAAGATTCTGTGAGAAGCAAGCGAGATTATGACTTTAGATATAGATACGAGCCTCTTGCAGCTTATCGTGAAACAACTGTACGTTATCCTATAACTTATGGTTTTGACACAATTGATCATCCACCGCCTGTGAAGTCTGCTGCAATCACGTCCCTTATTTCACCAGCATATCATGCTCCACTCACTGCAGCATATCATACGCCAATCCTTCCTGTTTCTAAAGTAACATCATCTCTAGTCAGTACAAATATTCATCATTTTCCTTCACATGCACCATTCATTGCTTCTTCTCCTTTTATTCATGCACCACCAGCAATAATTCATTCACCACTTATCGCAACTTTCCACAGATGAATTTCAATTATTCTTAGAATATTTATTATGCACTCACTTATAATAGAGAAATATTATTTAGATCTTATAATCAATAAAACTTTAATCGTTATTCACAGTTTCAACAGTTGATTTATGGCGAAATTTTATTGAAACTTTTCTCCCAAAATTGGCTTTTTACCCTAGTCACTTAAGTCTTACGAAACTTCAACGTTGTGCAAAAAGAAGAGAAAAAATTCATGAATAAGTGAAAATTTAATCGCTTAACTTTTTCTCCCTTCACATTGCATTTCGGTGGATAAGTTGATAAATATGTTAATTCATGAATAAAGTTACACCATCATTAATGTCATTAGATATGCTGAACAGTTGAAAATTATTGATTGAATATGGAAATTTCATACGTGAAAGATGACGATAAAGTTCAACACTGGAGTAGTTTATTTGGATCATGAAGCATGTCATGTGTTGTGTCAATTATACTTAAAACTATAAGTTGGAAAAAGAAATTCAAATACTCACGTCATAGCTCTTAATCCTATTAAATTGATCGGTGCTAATTAAGTAAATCAATGCAAATGGCAGCAACGATATTGCAGAAAAGATGATTAAACATTTCACTAAACACCGCTTGAAAATGCGACATTGCGTTCGATTTCCTCTCATGAACTTTGAGTGTTTTTTATGAGTTTTCTTTTGTTGGGGCGCTCGTTGAACGCTTTGTCAACGGATGGTAGCTATGTTTGGTTCTGTTTATTGCATTTGAAGCAAAAAACAGATAAATTATTTGGTTTCGTTTTTTATATTGCGCTGGAATTTGCTTCTTGTTTTATTAGTTTTTCTTTTTGTTGGAATCGCTTTTTAATGTTTAACTCGCTCACAACACGATGATCTAAATGAAAGAATAAATTTGATTGTTGTAAATGTCGATTGTGAGCTTCCGATGACTTCCAGTACAAGCTTCTAACTAAATAATAATAATTGAAGCAATCAACCTTTTATTCGCTAAAGTTAAACAAATTTATGTAAATTAACTCATAAACGCTTTGAGTGGGCTTGGATTGCTACTTCATGTGAAAACGCACACATTGCGAGACAATCAACGTTTATTTTCTGAATGAAAAAGAAGAATTTTTGTGATGAAAATGATTTCCGATAACTTTTTGTGAACATTTTCTCAGATGCGATGAAAAAATGCGGAAAATCTCAAGTGAATTCCCATCGTGTATGTTGACATCAACACGTGAAAACTTGCAAAATGGAAATTCTTTATATGACCTCAATTGCAAATGCATTTATTGCAAAAAAGGGAATTATGGCGGAGGAAGAATGCTTTTGGGAATATAAATCCAATAAGCGATCTTAACGTACTCCTGAATGTCTTCGGAAAGAAAATCAATACGAAGTTTTCCTTGGCATTATAAATTTTATAATATTTCAATGAAAATATCCATTTCGCTTCTTGTTCCATCTCCAATCTCTTTAACTATTTACAACATGAAGAAATCTCAACAATACTGGAGGTTGTTATTTAAATGAAACCTTTTCTGGATATGTAATCATAGCATAAAGCTAACATGAACTTTTAAATGATTTCATTTTGCCTTCAAATTTGCAAGGATAAATGAAATTATTATTTTCTTTTGAAAGCTTTTCCTCGAGCGTATACGTTTGTACCATTTGCATGTGAAGTTTCATTATCAGATTGTTCCAAGAATGTAAAATTTGACGTTCTCCATGTTTGTATTTGCCAAGTAAAGCAAACAAATGAAATGAAGGATGGAAAAAGTAGGAAAGTCGTTGAATAATTAGAATGTAAATATTTGACTTTCCTATGAGAATCATTTGAGGTGAAAACACAAAAAAAAGCGCGTAAAATTCAATTAAAATTATAGTTTAATTGCTCATGTTCCTTTGAACTGACAAATTTAGGTGAGTCTCACTCTGCTTGAGCTTCACTCTTGAATAATTTATTTAAAGTCAGAATTTTGAAATCCCAAGCCGCACATTAATGTTTCATCAAAATTTTCCTCAACTTAAAGTTTTTCCTCTCTTTTCTAAAAAAGTTTCACAAATAAAATATGAAAATTATTAATAGAAAGAAAAATCGAGACACTTTAAAACGTTTCATTCTTTCGCCATAATGCAACAAAGGAAAGTTTATTTTTGAATGTGAAAATATCACAAAAATAATTTTTCGTCTCTCTTTCCAAGTTGTAAGAAATGCTAAAGCAAAATTTTCCTTTATTTACGAAACACGAGAGTATATTTTGAGAAGAAAAGTTTTATTAATTTGTGGAATAACATTTTGGGTATCTTTTATGATTCAGTGAGTTGTAACATCTGATATTAAGATGTGCTACCATAAACTTATCGATTTACATAAACATGATGCCACTTGAACCCTCTTTTCATATTTATTTCTCTTCATTTCATCCCAAAATCGATACAAAAATATTCTTACATCATTCCGCCTTAACGACAGTTTATATTTGTGAAAAGGAAAATGATTTTTCATCCTCTCCTACTGCATAGAATATGTCGACATATAACTAATGCTGTTCACTTAATTAAGTTTCCTGATGTTTGAACACAATTCCGGATTTATAAGAAATTAAGTCGAAACCAACAAGAAATCGGAATATTAAGTTAGCTTCTTGAATTCACTGCTGATAACGAATTTAATATGTCAAGGAAAAGATCTAAGTGACTTTTTTTTCGCTTCTCGTCATCTTCATTCATAAGCAGTGCTCAAAATGTCAACAGCTATAAAGCCAAAAGATTTTGATCTTTTCTACTTCTTTATAAATATTTACATTTGCACCTTCAATCTAAGAAGAACTTTACACTCTGCTTTGTCTTCATTAATTACTCTTCGTTGTCATATTTTGGTGAACAAAAATAATTCGCTTAGTTATAATTGTGACAGTCGTGAAATTGACATTGCGTGACAATTCTAAACATTTCATTATTTAATCATAAAAATTAGTTAAAATGAAAGGAAATGGAAAGTTGTTTACGACATTGTTCAGATGGTAATTATGTGCGTTTATCAACGACAATACTCCATAACAATGGCAAACATTCGATGAGAAACAATTCTTTGAAATTGATACTGTGAAAGATTTTAAATGTTACGTAAGAATCTTAGATAAATATTTAAGAATCATTCGATGAGTAAAAGATTCGTGGAAAACTCTGCAATAAATTTTCGTACATGTCTTTACGCTCCATTAATTGTATTCATTCACAGTTGTAATGTGACGAAAAAAGGATGAATATTAAATGTAATTACACAATATTTGCAGGGAAGAATGCGAAAAAAGAGCGCAAGCAAGTAAAGGAAAAAGCAGAAAATGGAAAATAAAAAAGCCGAATTTATGGATTTTCCTTTTCATTCTTGTTTTTGTTCTCTTCGTTACTCTCATTCACAAAAATTTTCCTTTTTCTTCAATTCCTCATTGCGAAAAAGAATGAAAGAAAAATAACTAAAATCAAGTTTTTCCTCAATTTTCTTTTTTAAGAACGGATGAATGAAAAAAAAGAAAATCATGAAAAGTTTTTTTCTTGATTACTTTTTCACTTTGATTTCTTCTAGATAATTAATTTGTTATTAGCAAGTTTTCTTTTTTCCCGATTTTTCTTCGAGTCACTTATTTCTACATTTGATGAAAAGAAAAACTGTGAAAATGCCGAGAACTTCACGTGTTTACTCTTGAACGATTCAACGAGAACTGAAACGATTCTCGCTCAATTCTCACACATTTTTTTCATTTCTGCTTTTTTTTCGGTGCTTTTAGTTTTGTATTTCCCATAACGCTTAGCAATTAGATTTCGTTTCATTATATTTGTGTATACTTAGATCAAAACATTAAATTAACTGCCAATAAAAAAAGAATGATTGGCAGAATTATGGTTAATTATATTAATTCAATTTAAATTTCCCACCCACATTGATGAATTATTTCTGCCTTTTTTTTGTTTCATTTCATCATGAAGTGTTGCACGAGATCTGTTGACACACTTTTCTTATTGTTTACGAGAAGAGAAAACTTCCTGGGAAGTGCGCATGACATTCGCTCGCAAACTCAAATTGAGATACTTTTATTTGTGTAATAAAGCTTTTCAATATTCAAAAGCTTTTGATTCATAAAATTTCATAAGCTTTCAAACGACGAATATTTGTGTGTGGGTGGTTAATATTGAAGGAAAGAAATAATTCCGTCATTGATTAGTGTAAACATAAGACGGTTGTTATTCTTACTTTTACCAAACGTCTTTTAAAGCTTCTTATCTTAGTTTCGTTATATCAGATTAATTGAAATTCCTTGCTTTTGTACTTAACTCAATACTTTATATAAAGCTAATAATAAGTTTGAATATTCTTCAATCGTCTTATCTTAGCTTCGTGATTTGATTAATTGAAATTTTGGAAATTCCCAAAAAATTGTTTTTTAGACTTTATTCGATACTTTATGAGTTTAAAAATATCGACTAATCAGAACGAGTTTCAAATCTTCTCATTTCCAATTTTAATTTTGTTGATAAAGTTTCGGACAATGATGATGACGAATTTTTTATCAGCTTGACTGACCTTCAGAAAGCTTAAAATATTTTTTTACTGCAGTCTTGATTGTCCATTTGACATTTCCGTTTTCAACTTTTTATCAGATCGCGTAGATTTTAAATATAAAATTGAAGTTTGAATTAATTCATTTGTTATTATTCATTCCGATAGAGTTGTCATGATTATCATAATTTTCATTTCATATTTCTTAGTGTTAATTAAAACTTCTCAATCAACTGATGTTGAAGATAAATTTCGAGAAGCGAAGATTGTTGATGATTTAATTCCGCGTTCGCCTGACTCTCTTCTTTATGTTGAGTTTTATTGTGGATTGCCAATGTTGGGTGATAAATTTACGCCGTCAGAAGTTAGAAATATGCCAAAAGTAAGCTGGAAAGATGCAAAGGAAGATGAATTCTACACTCTTATTATGACTGACGTCAAAAATTCATCAACTGAATGGCTTCATTGGCTTGTTGTAAACATCCCTGGAAATGAAATTGAAAAGGGAACTTTTCTCACATACTTCTTCCCTTCTTCTCCACCAAAAGATTCCGGCGAACATCGCTACGTCTTTCTCCTATTTAAACAACCCCAGAAACTTAACTTTCAAGGCCACGAAGTAATTTCAACTTTCCAAATGGATGGTCGCGAAAGATTCTCAACAAAAGATTTTGCGGAAAAGTTTGCTTTGGGTTCGCCAGTTGCCGGAAATTTCTATCTCGCATCATGGGACGAATCTTGCGAAGAAATGTATAAATTGATTGATGAAGAAAATTCCAAGAAAGGTTAGGAAAGGGAGAAGATTTTATTGTTAAAAGATATCTAAGCGTAATGTTTCGATGAATTTAATTATAATAAAACAGAGAAAAAGTTGAACGATATCCGAAAAGTTTAATGTTGTTGTCTAATCGAATATCTAAGTTGGATCAGACTTTTTATATAGATTTTTAATGAATAATAATCAGCATTGAATACATGATGAGATTACCGAAACAAAATTCTATTTCAGACGACTAATTTTGGAGAACATGAAGTTGACCATCGAAGATTCGTCGGCACACGATATGAATTTTCATATGAGCTTGTACAAAATGCAGACAAATGGATTGAGTTTCGAGAAGTTTGAGTTGTTATTCGATAAAGACGAAGAAGATTTGCCAAAAATGCCTTTGTTTGACAACGATTGGGAACAATGCAAGGTGAATAATCTGAAATAGAATTCCAATCTTGATTGTCACATGATGAAAGCAATTTTGTTTATTTGTTTTCAGAACTTTTTCATTCATGCTGATCAAGCAGCTGTGTTTGTTGTTGTCATCGATATCATCGAGTTTATCAATCAAATGATTCACAAACTTCAGTTTTTTATATCGTATGAGATTAAATTTGAGGAAAGAAACGCAAGAATGTTACTTGAGGCGGGTGAAATTGATGTTAATTCAAAGACTCTTTACGAAGGTGAATCACGGACGATTAGCAGAAGTGAAGGTGATAAAATCATTTCATATTCTAAGAAAAAATTATTAAAAAAATTCTTAAAGTTTACAAAGATTTACTCGCGATATCTTCAACATCATCCATGCTGCTGTTGACTGTGAAATTTCAAAAGCAACCGAAGATAAAATTTCAAAATTTCCTTAAAGAAAGTTTAAAATTCTCGCAGCTGCAAGATGACGAGGATAGAAATGTGAGTAATGATAAAAATTCAATTCCACAAAAGATAAAACGAAATCATTTTTCTTTTAAAAAAAGGAAACGTTATTGAATGACGAAGCCAAGTCATGCAATATTGAAAGAATGGAAATTGATTCACAAGAAAATGACTTTGAAGGAAAATCGTTCATTTTTTATTGTGATGAAAATTATTTTAAAGGTGTTCTCGTTCGACTAAAGTTCATTGATCAATTGAGTATTCGAATCAAACTTTATATCAAGTAAATTTTTTTTTGTTAATCTTCAACAACTGAAACTTTTAATTCTAATAATCTGAAATAATCTCATTTAAGGTCGAGCCATCAGATTGTAACTTTCGTCAAATCGATTTATGGAAAATACTCTGAACGGTGTACGATTGATGTTAAGAAAAGTAGAGAATTCAATCAAGAAACCTGCAATCTTATCACACAAATAAATACTGATGATATCAGCTGAAGATTAAAATTTTATTTTATTTTAAATCAAAATATTTCAGACTTGATAACAATGTCGTTTCATTAAACTGCGTATGGCATTGGCTCTTCTGTTTCTTGCTTGTAAGGAGTCGGTTCTTCGGTCACTGCCTTGGCTTGCTTGTAGGGCATCGGTTCTTCAGTTTCTTGCTTGTAAGGAGTTGGTTCTTCGGTCACTGCCTTGGCTTGCTTGTAGGGCATCGGTTCTTCAGTTTCTTGCTTGTAAGGAGTTGGTTCTTCAGTTGCTAACTTGACTTTTTTGTAAGGCGTCGGTTCTTCAGTTTCTTGCTTGTAAGGAGTTGGTTCTTCGGTCACTGCCTTGGCTTGCTTGTAGGGCATCGGTTCTTCAGTTTCTTGCTTGTAAGGAGTTGGTTCTTCGGTCACTGCCTTGGCTTGCTTGTATGGCATCGGTTCTTCAGTTTCTTGCTTGTAAGGAGTTGGTTCTTCGGTCACTGCCTTGGCTTGCTTGTATGGCATTGGTTCTTCAGTTTCTTGCTTGTAAGGAGTTGGTTCTTCAGTTGCTAACTTGACTTTTTTGTAAGGCGTCGGTTCTTCAGTTTCTTGCTTGTAGGGCATCGGTTCTTCAATTTCTTGCTTGTAAGGAGTTGGTTCTTCGGTCACTGCCTTGGCTTGCTTGTAGGGCATCGGTTCTTCAGTTTCTATCTTGTAAGGAGTTGGTTCTTCAGTTGCTAACTTAACTTTTTTGTAAGGCGTCGGTTCTTCAGTTTCTTGCTTGTATGGCATTGGTTCTTCAGTATCTTGCTTGTACGGAGTTGGTTCTTCGGTCACTGACTTTACTTGTTTATATGGCATTGGCTCTTCAGTTTCTTGCTTGTACGGGGTTGGTTCTTCGGTTGCTGACTTGACTTTCTTGTAAGGCGTCGGTTCTTCAGTTTCTTGCTTGTAAGGCATGGGCTCTTCAGTTTCTTGCTTATCCATTATATTTTCAGCATCATCACCTGCTTCACCTTCAGCTCCTTCATTAATTTTACTGAGTTCCTCAGTTAATTGGCTTATAAAGCTTTCGGCATCGAAATCAATTTTTGTTAATCCAGATGTCAATCCATTTGTAAATCCAGAGAAAACGTTCGTATCGAAAAGCATTGGAAAAGCGCTTGAAGAAGCAACCAAAGCAAGAAGAATGAAAAATTTCATTTTTGCTACGTTTCGTTTTTTATTTCTTAACTTATAAAATATTGAAAAGAAACTGAATAATTTTGACAGAAACAGAAGCATTTATAGAATATGGCGAAATTGATTTTTATAGGCCATAATTATCACCTGATAAGATATCTTTTTCAAATTTTAAAGCTTTAATTTCTTACGTGCTTACTAGGTAGTCTTATCGTTTTTTAAGCCATTGACTCATGTGAAAATGTTTTGGTCCAAATGATCAACATGATAAGCAAGTAATTTTTAAAATAGAGAAAATATGTGTGAAATAGCATTAAATAGTTATAGATATTTGACATTTAAACTTTTAATTTTTCAGCAACAATTTATTTCAACAAAATTGATTAATTTGTACTTAAGTGCAACTGCCAAATATTCAAATTTTCAATAAAAATGTGTCTTTGCTAATTTTGTGTATCGGAGGGTTAGTGGCATGTCTTACCTCCAATTTGTATGCATTGAGATTAACGAAGTAAAAGTATAAACGATAATCTACATAAAAATGTGATAAGCCTGATCATAGTATAATTTTATAGTTACGCAACAAAATAAATTTGATAAAGACATCTGAAATACATTCCACAAGTGATAATATTGTGTTATAAAAAATTTATTAATGAAAATCTAGCCGAAATTGAAAGCAACTTAGAGCATTCATCAACATGTCAATTAGCGAAGAAGATCTAAAAAGAATTGAGCTTGTAAAGTCCAAAATTGGGGAGTTTCCTGATTTTCCTAAGCCGGGAATTAATTTCAGGTTTGTTTTTTGTCTTGAAATGTTCTGAAAAATTATAAAAACATTTTTGTGACATTTTAGAGACATTTTCACCGCTTTAATCGATGGACAAACATGTAGAGCATTAAAAGAAGTTTTAATTAATTATGTTAAAAAGAATCATCCGTCAATTGATGCTGTGGTTGGCCTTGATGCTCGAGGATTTCTCTTTAGCTTCACAATCGCATCTGAACTTGGTGTTGGTTGCATTCCGATAAGAAAGAAAGGAAAACTTCCTGGTGAAACTCACAAAGTTGAATACATTCTCGAATATGGCAGCGATGTTTTCGAACTTCAATGTGGAGGCATTAAAAAAGATCAAAAGATTTTAATTGTTGATGATTTGTTAGCAACTGGTGGGTCATTGAAGGCTGCAATTGAATTAATTCAGAAAGCAGGTGGGATCATTGACGGTTGTCTTGTGGTCATGGAACTGAATGCTCTCAATGGACGTAAAGCTCTTGATGGATTTATTGTCAATTCTCTTATCCAATATGACGATTAATAAATGTTTCAATTTACCCCAACTTGCCATTCCAATTCATTGTTTTCTTTCGTATTAACTTAATACAGACTTAAGCGGCTGTTGCGCTTGTGGTGTTTCCATGCAACACCAAAGAAGAAATAAAAGCAAAACTTGTTTTTTTCTACATTTTTTCTTCTTCTCATTGTCCAACTTCTACTTCTTCCATTACTTTTTTTCTTTCTCAAACGACTTCGCTTTAATTTTGCCATCGAAGAAATTCTGCTCAGTCGACGGCAATTGAGTAAAGTGTTGAGTTGGGTCGATCGAGCTGCGAGAAGAAAGAAAGAAAAAATCAGATTAAGAATTAAAAATGAATTAAGAAAACATTTTCTTCGAGAGTAGATATTAAAGAAAAAGTTTGTGATTACAACGCAGTATTATAAGTGAATAATATTAAAGGAATTAAATAATAAAACAGGTGAAGAAAGAAACACGGGAATGTGCTGAAAGAAAAATAAAAAATATTCCGCGATATTCATGACAAAAAGAATTCTTCAACATGCTGTGCGGAGTTTTAAATTTATCGAGTTATTAATTTAATTGAATGTAATCAAAGGTTTTTCCTTTCTTTATAACGGTTTATCTAATAGTTTCTGATGCTTTGTGTTGTGATCTTATGTTTCAATGATGATTTATGAAGTCAAGAAAGTTCCCAATAATTTAAGACAACTTCCCAAGCTTACGGCTCTTAATTGTGTTTTTAAAAATGGGCTACAAAAGTCGCCCGTCTGTCCCATACGACAATAACTAATGGAAATCAAAACTATAGCGAAAGACAATCCATTTCCTTTATTACCACGGATATCTTACGTAAATTTTATGTCTAATGTGATGTGACCCAAAAACAAAACAGAAAGAAGTGCACAAAAAAAGAAGAAGACAAAAGAAAATAAAAAATCAATTGAAAGTTTTTTTTTATTATTTATGAATTCAATTATGAACTATAACAATGTTAAACTTATTCATTTTCATCTCTGTTTGTTCTTCTTTTCTTAAAATTTTATAAACGTTCCACTTTAATCAATTAAGACTTCAACAACAACGAGTTGCCGAAGAAATGAGCAAAAACTTAGATTTTCCAATTTTCTAAGTCAACAACTTTCCCGTTCTCCCTCATACAAAAAAATTTCAATTGATAACCAGTTCGACTGGATAAGTTTGCAAAAAAAAGAGTTTCTCTCAAATAAATGATAAAAGATGAACAACTAAACTAAGTAACTGCATGCAGATATGTGATGAACGAAGAACGAGCGAGAATGTGGGCTAAATTCTTATTAGTCTCGTTTGATCTCTTTTCACTTACCAGCTTTTGTGAAACGTTAAGATGTTGTTGGAGTTGTGAATCGTAAGAAAGAAGACAAAAAAAAGCAAATCTTTTGTTGTGGAAGCAAATGAAGTAGGAAGTTTTACTTCACTTATTGCACAATAATAAGTAAAGCATTAACATTTGGCATTCGTTTCATTAGTTTAATAATCAGCAAAAACTTGAAGGTTATTCTATTTACAAATAAATAAATGAAAAGATTTCTCTTGATGTCGAAGACAAAAATCCCGGAATTTTTCTTTTCATGCATCGATAGTCAAGAAACAAAAAAAAATTATTTATTTGCGTTGGAAATTAATCTTTTGCATAATTCATGCTTTCATTTTCAACTGCTGTTCGATTATCAAAGCATCAAAATTTCCACTTCAACAGGTCCATGGACGGTCTACGGTGCCATAACTTTTAGTTTTACTTGGATTCACTTTTACCCCCCGAAAGATTGATTATTGTTTATTTAGAAGAGTTAAATAATAAATGAGTCGGTCGATCGCTCTGTTGAATTATATTTTAAAAACTGTTGAATCGAAACATGGAAACAGAAATTTAGTTTCTGAATGAAACGCCGATCGATCATGGAGGTTGTTAAAAAATTAGAAACACTTCATCTTTAGCGTGTAGATTGTGATCATTGTGATGAAAGAAGAAATCAAATCAAACCTTATGATGCCATTTAAATAATAAAAAAACACAAACAACATTCAAATAAGTTTCTTGAGAAACAAAACAGAGGAAAAAAGAAGTTTAAATAAAAACAAGTCAGAAGCACGCTGACCTTTTTCTAATGTTTTCATATTAACGGAGCATAGCGCGCCAAAGTCGTGTTTTTTATCGTAGCGACAGTGACATTTAACCACTTTGCTGACTTACTTCATTCATTACCTTCTTTTGTGTATTAATTTTACTACTTTGAAACATAAACATTGTGTAACATTGAAAAAACCTTTTGAAGAATTTTTTTTGCATTATAAATCGGACGTGAATAAAAAGTGCTGCGATTGAGGAAACATCAACAGCAGAATTTATTTCTAACTTATGAATATATTTTAATTGTCATTAGATATTTGATAAGATAATAATGGGAACGAAAGTGATAGAATATGTGGACACATCGCAACTTTACGCAACAAATTACATCAGAAATTCAAAAGCAATTGCCGTGCTGTGGGCTATCTTCACAATATGTTATAGCATTATTGTGATTGTCAGTTTTGTGACACCCGGTGAGTCTTAATTTGTATTAAAACCTTCCTGACATTAAATTTCTCATCATAAATCATAAAATTATGACAGAATGGGTTGGAGACTTAGAATCAGAGACTGGTGGCCGAATTGGCCTTTGGAAGTTATGCGAGAGAAATGAAATGAACGATAATTGTGTTGGAAACTTAGAAGACATGATGGACATGCCATCAATGTCATTCCAGGTGAAAGCGATTCATCTTCTCTTATTTCAATTTCTTTAATGTGCCGTTGTCGTGTGTAGGTGGCAACAATATTCGCTGGAATTGCTGTAGCGACATCACTTCTCACCATCATGTGCCTGATCTTCATGATTTTCTTAAAGTCAACAACAGTTTTTCATATTTGTGGCTGGATGCAGATTCTTTCAGGTAAGGATTACACTTTCACTGCTTCTTTAGAAAAGCCAGAAAACTGGTCTCATGTAGGTCAAGATTGTCTTAGATTTTCTCTTCAACAATTACACTTTTTCATTCAACTTCCTTCCAAGACTTCATTTTTAACATTCATCCAAGTCTTAAGCGCAATGTGGATCATTAACTTTGTGCAATTGTTTCAATGTATTTCTGCTTAACTTACATACATTCGATTTTATGCTTTTCAAGTTGATTTATCTTGGAACTGAGAATTGATGCTTGCAGACAATCGATTGGAAATTACTTTTCTGGGTCAGTAGTTGTAGTTTCTTCTTAACTCTAAAAATTGCTATTAATCGACAATTCCGTGAAGAATGAGTAAGAAAAACGATGTCACATATCTATGTTCATATGTACACACTATAAATATAACAAGCGAATCTCCATTTGTGCCTTTAATGATCTTATGTTACGCTCTCTTTTATGGAAGTTGTAACCGTCTATTGTTAATCTAATTAGCGGTTGTATTGACGAAGGTATAATTCAATAATTTGATGATGCTGCTTTCATTCGAAAAACTTTCATACTCACTCGGGTTTTTCTTTTACCTCCAACTGAGGTTTTCCCAAAAGGTTTTTTTCTTTTAATGATGTCACAATGTGATTCTTCCTTGTTATTGTTATTAATAAATTGTAGAAAGAAATGAAACATTTGTGACATCATCATGAATTTCGATTTATGATCTCGCACTGCTTTAAATTCAATTGAACTTTTCACGAAGCATGACGAGAGCATAAAGTTATAAAAATAAAAAAGAGTTTGAATGAAATATTCACCGGAAATACCAGAACACTTCAATCTGAAGAAAACGAGAAAAATAAAGAAATTAACACAGCGAAGTTAAATAAATTTCCAATGCTTGATCAATTTTTGTGCTTTTCTTCTGTTACGCAACAAGCTGAAAAATTCGATCATTTCAATTGCGTGATTTGAATTAAATATTTTTTCACCATTAAAGTGTCTGCCTGTGATTTGCATTTTAACAGAGCTTGAAATTGGAAACGTGATTCAAAAGAATCTTTTGGAGGGATTTCCGATATTTATTCGTTGAGAGATTGTTATGAATTAACATTAATAACAAGTCCAAGCCCTGTGCTTTACTAATTTCCATTTCAAAACGCAAGAACCGAATCTAAGTGCTGAGAAAATTTCCTTTCGCTTTCAACGTTTACCAACTACCCGAAAACACCTGTTGAATGATTCTTATTGGCGACTTTACTGCTTAGCGTTAAACTCACAATTTTGCGCTCTTTTATCTCCGTTTGCTTGCTCTGCTAAGCATTTTGTTTTTTTTCCCTGTACGCTATGGTATTTCGGTTTTCTTTTAAATACCTTTTCGTTGCGCAATTCTTTCAACTAATTATCATTATCATCTTAGTCATGCTTTCGTGTTTTGAATCTCAAGTCTGGGTAGTAATAAAAAACTTTAAATTTGTCACTTTCGTTGTAATAAGTTCGCACATGTGCTTATTAAATAATTCGTAATTTCCCTCACATTATTGAATTCATAAATTAAATAAATTAATTTAATTTGTTTACTTCTTTTATTATGTTAAATAATAATTCAATGCTGAAAAAATTGATTGAATTTTAATAGTGCGAACCACGATGTTTCATCATGTATTCGACATGAAATGCTCAACTCACGATTTCATCTGATAACAATGAAGTCAAAAATGTAACAGAAAGAGAGAGAAAAAAAAATATCCATGAACCACGCGCATTGTACAAACCAAAGTACAATGAAGTGCAATGAGTACAAAGAAAAAACAGAACAAAAAATGTACTTTGGGAATCGTACATAAAAGTGTTAACCGCTGCTTTAATATTACCGCAAAATGAAGTTAAATCAGATCGACTTTAGAGACAATAACTAAATAACAACAATAATAAATTATGGTTTTGGCTTTTCTTTCAACATTAACTGTCAATTAGTTTAATGAAAAACATTTTTCCCTGACTTGTTTTTTTGTAGCGATTTCCATGATTGTTGCATGTGTGAGTTTTCCGTTCGGATGGAATTCTGATGAATTTCGGAAGATTTGCGGCCCTGAAGCTAATCGTTTTGATGTTGGACTTTGTGGTATTCGATGGGCTTATGCTTTAGCTATAATTGGTAAGACATTTAATTTTCATTTAAATTACTGGTAATTCATCAATCATAAATTTGTTTTTATTTCAGCTTGTATTGATGGATGTATTTTAGCTACTCTTGCTTTTATTCTTGCCACTCGACAAATCCGTTTGCAACCTGAACCAGGATACCAGAGAAACATGGGGACAGTCAACAATGCTTACATAACTGACGTTCACTCTCTGACCGGCTCAGGGTCAAGAAAATCATTAAACTTAAAACCTGTTTTGCTGGTATCATCACCTCACGTTCAGCATTCAACAGTTGCCGAAGATTCTATTTCACAATTTTCCAGTCGAAATGGTACTAATCATCGATTCCATAATCCAATGCATCATCATCATCATCAATTTCAGCTTTAAAATTTAAATATGAAAAACAAAATAACAAATATCTTAGATTTGTAAATAGACATAAAATAATTAACGAAGTGATTTTAATCTTCCGATAATAAACAAATACTTAATAGATGAAATATTGAAAAAAAACTGATTTTGATTTATTTTTGTAACCTTGCTCATAAAATAAAGCAAAAATCTTTAATTTGTACGGGTTGCTAAAATTGACAGCATCAAATAAAAATATTTAACGGAAATTTGAAATTTGAATTTTCTAGCAGTTTTATGTCTGCTATAAAAAATATCATGAAAATATATTTTAACTTCTCTCAAATATATCAACAGTGGTGCTAAGGTTCAAGACGTGTTCGTTTAAAGCAGCGTTTCTCTAATGATTCAGCATTTCTTTTAATGACGGAGAGCTGGTACTCCAAATACGAAACTTCCAACTTATATTGCTCAATTAATTCGTTCTGTTCGTGACGTTTCATTCTTAGAGCGTTGAGATTATGATTTAGGTGGCTTCCTTCTAATTCTTTTTCTGCTTCTTTTAATTTTTCATCTGAAAATGATTATAAAATTAACTTGAATCAATTTAAGCGAGAAGTTCGTACCAAAATTGTCTAAACTTTTTGTGTCGAAGTTTTTAAGTTTTTCTATATCAGCCATAAGACCTTCAATATCCTTAAGAGCTGCATCCACAACATCATCTGTCGTTTGTGCTTGAACTTTCATTCTTTCCACTTTTTCCTGAGTTTCCTTTATCAATTTATTATCATCATTTTCAATTTCTTCAAGTTTATCAGCTTCATCTGAAAGTCGAATTGTTTCCTTATCAGCATCTCTAAGAACTTCCGGCATATCTTCAAACTCTTTCTCAAGTTCTTTAATCTTAGTTTTAATATCATCACTTTCTTCAAGAATCTCATCCATTTGAAGTTTTGCTGTTGAACATTTTTCCTTGGCATTTACAGCGATATTTGTGTGATTATCCAACTTATTTTCCAAATTTTTAATTATTTTTTCACTTTCCTCGACATTTTTCACAATTTCTGGAATCTTTTCCAACGCCACCCTTGCACTCTCCTTTGATTTTTCGACCTTCAAAGTGAAGTCATTTAAACTATTATAAATATTTCTGGCTGCTTCAATGATTGCGTCTTTTTGGGCGATTGCTTCAAGTGCATCTTCACGAATTTTAAGAATCTCTTCGAGAGCTTTTTCAATTTCATTTTTAAGATTTTCAGCTTTTGTAGCCAATCCCATGGCAATTTCTAGAGAAGCTTCCATGTCGTTGAGAAAGAATGAATTCTCGTTCGAAAACTTTTCCAAATTAACGTCTGCATTGTCCGCATATTGCTTTAACTTCTCAACTTTTAAATTGATTTCCTCGAGTTTATCGTCGAGTTCAAACATACTGACCTCCGTCAACAAGTCAAAAGAATCTTCAAAAACTTTGTTCGCTTGTTCTAAAGCTTCAGCGGCAAGTTTTTTCATATTCCTTAATTCGTCGTTGGAATTCATCATGTCATCAACTTCTTTTAAGTTATCGTCAAGTTCCTGTTGCTCCGTTATTACTTCCTCGGCTGTATCCGAAACGTTTTCAAACTTCTCTATTGCTTGCGTTGTTAAATGTTTTGCATTTTTTAAATTTTCTTCATAACTTTCAAGAGCTAATTTCAATTCCTCGAGAACATCTTTCAATTGACCTGCATTGGAACTAAATTTTTCTGATCTATCAAAAGCATTTTGAAGAGCTTCGGGTCCATCAACTTCAGTTGCATTTAACATTCGATTAATTTCTTCTTGCAACTCTCGAATTATCTCATCAACATTTTCTTCATTTTTCTCAAGCGCATTTTTATTAACTTTTGAATTTTCAACTTCATTTTCGGTTTCGTCGGCTAAACTTTCAATTTCATCAATACTATCAAACGCGTTGTTTATCAGTTCTATCAAAGTCTTATCGCCACCGTCAATGCCAGTGTTCAAATCTTTTAGCAATTTCACTAACTTGTCGTCAACCTCCCTCAGCTTTTCTGCTAATTCTTTGTCATTTCCAATCGCAACTTTACTCAATTCCTTCTCAGCATCAGCTAAAATCTAATTTATTGTTTGTTTGAAAATTCAAAGAAAATAAATTGTTGCCAATTTGCTTACGGCATCAGCTTCGTTAATCTTTTCTTCCAGAAAGTTCACAAACGTTTTGATTACTTCATAACAACCTTCAGTCTCACATTTTGACTCCTTTGAGTCTTGTGAATGAATCAAAGCCAAAACTGCGAATAAAATTAATAAAATTTTCATATTTCCTTTGAAACCACGACGAATGAATTTTTCTTTCTTTTTATTTTCTTATCATTTTCTTTATCAATATTTTGATAAGAAATTTGTCGAGTTTTGTCTTTTGAAATGACACCTGGCAGCTAAAAGAATTCAAAACTCTCTTAACAGTTGATTTCAATATTTAACTTAATTTACTTTCTTTCCCTCTTTATGACATGTGGAAGAATGAGAAACTTTTCCCTCATAAACTTTCTAAATCCTCGCATCAAAAGTAAGAAAGATTGAGTTGGAAATAAAAAGGAAATTTAATTTTTGGCATGGAAAATGAAGAAATTGAAATTTGATTAAAGATGTCATCACCAAATGTCACGGAAAATTCATTTTAATTTCATGATCGTATAAAAGAAAAACCTAAAATTGTCTTTTTATTTAGATAAATTTAATCAAATCACGAAAGGAAATTTTACTTTCAAAAGTTTTGTATAAATTCCCAAATAATCAAATTCAACTTTTTCTAAATATTTTCATTGAAAATTGCTGAAAATACTAAAAATAAAAATTATTTGATAAGAAAAATATTAAAAAAAATCCATCATGTAATGAACGTTCTCATTCCAGTACTGATACACTGCGGGGGTGTGTGATATTATGATTAATTGTAATAACTTTTTATATTCTCATTTCCACAAGTGCAACAACTCGAGTTGGAAAAAGAAAAACGTAATTTCAATTATATTTGATGATTATTATACAACATTATGCTGATTATTGATTGTAATGAAACTTAATAAAAATCAAAAAGAATGTCAAATAAATTGTCGTTTACGATCGTCGTCCCCTGGTCGGTCTGCCGTAATCATCTGTTTTTGATGAGCGATGAAAATTGATTTTCGCCATTCATGAAATTTTCCCCTCTTGCTGTTTTCTTTCTAACTTCTGATGGAAAGGAGTGAGAAAGAAAAAATATTTATAAAGAGAGAAAACCCATTAAAATGTCCGTGTTAGAAACAACGCGATTCTGAATGTATGGTGACAAATGGATGATTGTCTCGAAGCCATTTTTCCATCAAATAAACACTGCCCCGTGTAGTGCAAAGAGATGAAAAGTCAGCAATTACGAGACAAAAAAAATATAAAAATCAAAATTGTCTCGCATGAATGGAAAACGGATATGAAGTGAGAATTTGTTTTCAACGTAGCAGCAGATTTGCACGAGTAGAGATGAATGTTTGCATAAATATTTTGTTTGAAATGAAATCACCATTTTTTCTGCCTCCTTGATTTTTCAAAAGGTTTTGCCTAACAAATGTTTATCTATGCGTAGATATGTAAAAAAATCTTTTTTTCTGGTTTCCTCCTTTGTCTCCCTCAATTGAGATCATAACTGTTTGGTTTATGCTGCTGTCACAGAATGTTCGTGAACACGTCCAAAAATGAGTTTGAAAAGAACTTAAAACTATATCGAATCAACCAACTGTGCTTTCATGTATACGCACAACATATTTATATCTGCACAAGACTTTAGGTCATTCGGAAAATCTCATTTAAAACCCACTCAATAAGAAATAAAGTCAACGTGTTTTCAGTTTTAATAGTAGTTGATGGAAGTGGGGGATTGGTCAGTGATTCTATAGAAGTTACCAATCTCGTTTCTTTCTCATTTTATTTCTCTTGACAAATCTTCAATGTAAACGACATTTGTAACTTTACTAAACTTACAAACGAATCACGTTGAAAAGTCAATTTATATTGCCAAATCTGGCATTTGATGAAACATTCGATTGTTGTTAGAACTGTTTTCATTTTGATTTCATTTCTTTCATCATAATTCAGAAAGAGAGAAAAAAAGTTTCAAGCAAATTGAAAAATGTTACACAATTTGATTTTTCCTTACACAAAAAAAAAGGAATGAAAATTGTGAAAAGAGAGAAAGTTAGGCAGGCGGCATGGCATGATTGAACATAAAATCAACATAAATACCCATTTTTATAAAGTTTCTCTGCTTTTGACATAATCGTTAAATCAAAACTCTCTCGAGTTTAACTTGTACCGACGAGAATATGTTGTCGTCGTCGTCAGAACCCTCATGAAAATCATTGATATGGATGGAAATGTTCCTTTAGCTTGTGTACACATTTGAGATTGCTTTCATCAAACATTTTCTTTCATTATTTATGATTATTATTTTCAGAAATTTTCGTTCAAAGAAAAGATGAAAAAAATCTCCATTGAAAGAATTAAATTTGTTTTTTTGTTTTGACAATCTTTTCAAACATGCATGTAATCGTCCAAAAATATTTCAAATCCATTTGATTGCATTACATTTTTTTGTCATTTCGAAACAATGAACAATCATACAAACATATGAACTCCCACACAACAGTAGTTTTCTTATCAATTTTTAAGACATTTCCAATTGCTATTAATTATCGGAATCAAAATATTGAAACTCAAAATAATGTTCGATTAGAGAGAAGTGACTTTAGTTGTGAGAAAGGTGTCGTTGAAATTAAATGCTTTGAAGTCTCGTTGAACAATTTTATTAAAAAAATAAAGAAAAGAAAATTTATCATCATTTTTCATTGATAATGGCTACTTGTGGTGATTACATTTGATTTAAGTTTGACAAGATTCACGACACTAATTAATGTTTTTAATTTGATTGATTGCTTTATACAGTTTGAAAAAGAATAAAAACAAACATTTCCACAAACTAAAAGTTGTTTCATGAAAGATGAAAAATTCTCGAAAGTTGTCAATGTGCCAAAGTGATTCATTACAAACGTTATCAACATGTTTATTAAATATTAATCGTGATACATCATCGTGAATATAGATATATGAGGAAACATAAATAATAAACTATTCTCGACAAATATCAATAAATATTCCTCTAGACTGATTTAAGCTTATCTAAAACTTTACGATAAACCGGATGGTTTCAACAATCCATTAATGATAACAAAACAAATTCGAACAACAATCTACGCGCATCGTTCGAGTACAAATAAGTAAGCCAGTAATCAGAAGCTAGATAGCTATCGAAAGTAAATGTTTCAATAAACTCGTGAATTGTTTGAAAAAAGAAAATATCTTAAAAAATTTTGTGAGTGAATTAAAATTTAAGTGCCCACTTAATGATTTCCGAAATCCAGTGATTATTCATCGTTGTGTTATCAAATCACAAGGAAAGGAAAAATATTTAAGATAATTTTATTGTGACCATTTGGAACCTCAACAGAGCGTCATTCCTTAAATGTTTACCAAGTTTGTAAATAAAGGTTTAATGAGAAAAGCTTTAAATCAAAGAACTGACATTTGTTATCAGTTTTATTGAGCTATTGAGTCTCAATGTCTTTAGTGGTGTTATTATTTATCAATTAAATTGTTGCCTTAATACAATCAGTTACTTAAAAGAAAACGAAGAAGAATTTTTAAAAAAGTTTCATAACATCTGCTTAGAAAATATTTAAGAAGTGAAAAACTTAATACGATGATCAATAGAATAAGCGTGGATAATGAAGTCGGAATAACCGGACACGAAGAGATCCAAGGAATTAATTTAACCAAATATCAAAGTACAAAAAAATGGGAATGGAGTCATTTACGAGTGAGTTGAGTTTGATTAACTTTTTGGATGATCTTTGAAACATTGCGTCTTATGAAAACTTGCAGAAGGAATGCTACAATTTAGGATTAGATTCGTTTTATCGAGCTTACATTCATCGCATGCAAAGAAGTTATCTCTCGATCATATTACTAGTGCAAGCAGGTGTGTTGTTATCACACATTGCTGTGCTTCTAATAGTTAACAACTATGTGAGTTGATAATGAAACTAAGAATCTCTTTCAGTTTTTAAGATTTCAATGATTTCAGGATGGACATTCTTATTCTGTGATACCAGACGTGTTCGTTTATGCATTTAGCTTAGCAATCTTTCTAGTTGTACTTCTACCAGCATTTCAAGAAGATGTTTCCAACTTTTGGCGACCTTTTGCATGTTCATTTCTAGCGATCTGTGTTCAAGTAGCTACGGGTGAATCAAGCACAAATAAAAGTTTTTAAAAACTAACATTTAATCTTTATCTGATTTCTTTACATTGAACTTTAGACTTAATGATTCCCATTTACCATGCCATAAATACTCAAGACTTTCGCCACTTAAGGCCGATGTACGCTTCACACAACCTCCTGATTATCTACATCTTCTTACCGATATCCGATAATGTCATTGTTAGTCTCATGGGTTTAATGACAAGTGTTTGTTACGTTATGGTGATGGTGTTCGTCTCTTATTCATCGGACGACCATATCATAATTAAAGTGTTATCAGAAAGTTTCTTCCTACTCTGTATAAACATTATTGGAATTTACTTCCGAATCACAAATGAAATTGACATCCGAAGAAATATTCTTGATCGAAGAGAATGCGTGCAAAAGAATTTATCATTAAAGTATGAAAGAAATCAAGAGAAGGAATTACTGTTAAGCATCTTACCAGAACATATCGCCGAGAAAATGGAGAAAGATATCAAGCACATGATCAAGAAGTTGAATGAAAGGGAGAGAACAAAAAAGTTAGTAAAATCATTAAAAAAAATGTTTTCAATTTCATGACGTTGATTTATTCTTGACTTCTTCTTTTAGAGTGGAAAAAGTGATTCCCAATCCATCAACAAGTAGACAGTGGAGTGCTATAAAGTAAGAGAATTTGAAATCGCCAGGTCTTTGACATTTGAACAGAAGTTAAATTATCTGAAATTGTTATGGCATTTGATGAAAATAACAACAAACATTTAACAAAAAGTTTTCAATCGTCAAGCCTCGATAAACATTTCGTTGCAATTTAAATAAATTTATAATTGAAATCATCCTTTTTCAAAGTAAACTTTACGCTGAAAAACATTCCAACGTGTCAATTTTATACGCTGATGTCGTCAGATATACGCAAATGACATCTCAATTGCCAGTCCGAACATTGGTCGAAACGTTACACGAGTTGTTTGTGAAGTTTGATGAGGCATCAATTGTAAGTGTTATTAAAATCAAATTATTTTGATTCTCAAGTTATTTTAATCATTCTTTCAGGAGCATAATGTTCTGCGCATTAAGTTCTTAGGCGATTGTTATTACGGAGTTTCCGGAGTACCAATAAAAGACAAAAGACATGCTAAAAATTGTGTTGATTTGGGCTTAAGAATGATTCGAGATATTCGTGAATTGCGAGCTTCAAGAAAGATCAACATTGATATGAGAATAGGCGTTCATTCAGGAAGCATAATTGGCGGTGTTATGGGATCTTGTAAATGGCAATATGACATTTGGTCGAAAGATGTTGTTATCGCCAATAAAATTGAGTCAACAGGCGTAACGGGGTAAAAATTATTTTAAAATTCTCGTGCTAAAATCTCATGTGTCACGTTTAGGAAAGTTCATATAACGGCACAGACTCTTGAGCTTCTTCACGGAGAATACAGTTACGAGGAAGGAACCATAAACGCTCGAAATGACGAATTTTTAGTTAAAAATAACATCAAAACATTTCTCATCACACCCAAGAAGACCAGTGTCGTTAATGACGTAAATAATAAAATGATTTGTGCTTTTAAGAACAGAGAATGAGATTTATGGAAGCTTTGTGAGAATCTTTGATCTTTGGAATTAAGATTCAATCTAATCCCTTAACGATCTCCTTATACATTTAATCTAATCTTAAAATGAGATTTAATCTTAATCCCATCAAATCTCAAACTCTGTTTATGCATTTCAATAAAGTTAACGCCATCAATATTTGCAGATGCAAATTAGGAAAGTAAGTAAAGACAGGAGTAATGTAAATCACACCAAACCGGACGATATGGTAATGTAATAACAGTTTATGGCTTTATTAATGTAAATTTTATTTGAATATTTTTTCTTTCATAAAGTCGACAATATCTGAGATTGCGGCTGCAAACAGAAAGAATTTTATGATGAATTCAATGGAACAGTTTCGTGATATTATGAAACAAACAAACATAGAAATGGAGTTGGAATTGGAAAGAATGCCAATTGGAAAGTTTCAGTAAGAATCACGAAAGCTCATTGAAAGTTTCAACAGCTATAAAAATAAATTAAAAAAATCATTTCAGATTAATGAAATATGTTACGCAAAGAAAATTAACAACTCCGGTGCCAAGTCGAACATTTTACGGCAGCGGTTCAATCTCCGAGTTCGAAGACTTTAGTTATCAAGCCAAAAAGATTAATAAACCTTCAAAACTTCTGCTTCGATTTGCCAATCCAAGTTGGGAATGGAGTTTTCTGAATCAAGCTGATGTGTTGCTTAAGTATAGCGTTTTTATGAGCTGCATCGTGTTGTTGACGATTTTCTCAATTCAAGTTTTAAATCAATCGTGAGTTGATCTTTAAGTTTATTTATTTATTTATCTACTTTTTCTATAAACATCGACGACAATGTGACAGACAATTGTAGTAAAATTATTTATTTACTACACAATTAACATCGCATTTTTTGATATTTTTTTCAGTAATGGAATTTTATTTTACTGGTGTACAACGGTGTCAGCATTGCTAATAATCGCGATCGTCCCCTTCGTATGGTTTAAGAAGATTTGGGATTTCATTAAACCTGTTCACGATTCAGATGGATCGATGGTTGTCCCGCCTAGAAATCGACTTTTAAAAGCTCTTTATGACTTTTCGTTCGATATCATGTCGAATGCATATTGGAGAACGGCAATTTACTTAGTTGTTGTGATTGTTCTGACCGTCGTTTCGTTGCTTCATTTGGTATGAAAACAGTCGTTGAGTTCATTATTGAATTATTCGTTCAAAACTTACGCTCAACAAACATGCAGAACGGAAAAATAATTAAGTCAAGTTTCTTTTTTTTATAATTCGCAGGTAGAATGCTATGAGATGGAATGTCAAGATAGCAAGTGCAACGATAACTATGAAGATTACAGCAAATTCTCAACATGTCTCAACTCATGGGTACTCGTAGATCACATTGCAATCTAGTTTTATATAAAAACATAATTTTTATGCTTCCTTTTTCAGTCGGTCACTCAATGTCTCGTTCTCTCCATTTGCATGTGCTTCCTTTTCTTAAGAATCCATTTCTTACTGAAGCTGGCGGTGGCAGCCATCATTAATGCAGTTTATTATTACATAATCTTTTATTGGGTTGAATATATTTACGATGTAAGTGAAAATTATTTAAAAACTTTTCATCACTTTTAACGTTTGTCACGTAGCATGTTAACGATTCTCTTATGTTATTCATTAAGCATATTTAGTTCATGAATCTTAATAACAATTAATAGGATAGCGCAACGGCAAATCCAGCGATGGACTCAAAGCTGGCACATTTCTTGAAGGTTGCAGTTTCTACGGTTATTTTTCATATTATCGATCGTCAGTCTGAGTACATATTACGTGTTGGTTTTATGTGAGTAAGATGATAAATAATGATAAGACATACATACATAAATTTGCATATTTTTTACATTTTATGAACAGTTGGAAGCAAAAACTTGCTGAAAAGAAAAGAACGTCAATGATTACAAAAGAAACGAATAAGATTCTCGTCCACAACATTTTGCCAGTTCATGTCGCTGAACTGTACTTGAACTCACAAATTAAAAATGAGCTTTATAACGAAGAGTATGAGAGTGTCGCTGTGATGTTTGCGACGATTATGAATTTTGACACTTCATCAAACACAATTGACGGTGAGAGCAACGAGTTGAAAAGTTTGAATGAAATTATTTGTGCTTTCGATGAGAAAATCTTAACAAAAACGGGACGAATAAAGATTGAGAAGATTAAAGTTGCTGGATGGTCCTACATGTGTGCTTGTGGCTTGGAACCAGGTCAAAGCGACTCAAATTCGTCAACACTTAAGGGAATCTACGATGGAAGACGAAGTTTAGCTATTAATTCGATAATACTTAGAAACCAACTTTCGCCTCGAGTTCACAAAATGAGTGTTCGACAATCGAATAATGTTGTGATCACACTCGTTGAGTTTGCTTTAGAGTTAATGAGAGTTCTTAAGAAGATTAGTGAAGAGAATGAAAATTTCAAAGACAAGCCGCCTTTGCAGCTTCGCGTTGGGATTTCTCATGGGAAGGTGATGGCGGGAGTTGTTGGTGCTTTGAAGCCGCTTTACGATATTTGGGGGAATAGCGTTAATATGGCATCAAGAATGGATTCAACTGGAATCCCCGGAAAGATTCAGGTGACCGTTAAGAAAACAAAACTTTAAGGTTCATTAACGTTTATTTATTTATTTAGGTTACTAAAGAAACTGCCAACGTTCTCAAATGTTTCGGCATCGAGTGTCAATTTAGAGGTGAAATAAATGTGAAAGGAAAGGGACTCATACCGACATTCTTCGTTTCAATAAACGAGTCACTTGAGTTCGAGAAAGACAATGACACTGACACTCAAGCTCAATCATTAAAAACAAACTTAAACTCATTAAGAAATCATCTTTGATTTTACGTCAACGTGGAGATTAAACATTTGCTCAACAATTCATCATATCAGGAATGATTCATAATTAGGATAAATTAAATAAATAATAAAAAGCTTTTGTAACAATATTAAGTATAAAAACTGTTGTTGTTTATTCATTAAATTTATTGTAATTGCAATTTTTTTCTGGTTGATATTTTTACATTTACCATTGCCAGTTGCTGTTTCTTTCCTGAATATTTTTCATATAAATTATGACATCATACAAAAGGATGAGTTATGAAAGCATCGAACTTGATTCATTTATTTACAACGAACGTTTCTTTATTGTAAGATTGTTACAAATATCGTCGATGCTTCCTTCACTAGTCCATCAACGATTATCCTTCATTAGAATTCATGAAAGATTTTATTTTAAATTAAGTCATTTCATCAACTATTATTTCCTCACGTCCATGTTGACATCTAAATATTGACGTTTTAATTGAATTATCTTTGCAATTGTCGCTTGCTATGAAAATATTTGAAGCAAACAAATAAATAAACAAAAAAATTACCCAACATGTAATAATTAACTTATAAGGCTTGTCATTATCTTTCTGATTAATCTAAACAGCAAAAGGTGAATTAGATTAAATCAAGGTCTTGACTTTGATTCTATTACAATGTAAAAGAAAAATATTTTCCTTTATTAAGATTTCAATGAATAATTTTTAAATTAATGGAATTAAGTTTTCCGAAGAACATTGGGTGGGTTGAGATATGTACAAACAATTAAAATTTTTCTAATTAATAAAATTCACAACAAAGTAGATAAACCATTACGGAAAATTGTTTAATTACGGAAAATTGTTTGTTTGATGTTTACACATAAAAAAGTTATGAAGATAAAAAATTGATTTCCATTTTGATCGAATAATTTTCCCTTTGACTTTGTTTGAGATCATTTCCAGACGAGAAGGTGAGAGAAGAACGAGATACTTATTAAAGTTCTGCTATTATTTTCTATAACGAAATCAACAACTTTGCCGAGGGCAATCAATTTTTTTTTCGTTAATTTAGTTTGCTTGTGTTGCTGTAATTATTTTTAAGATTTTATTCGCTCATGAACGTTTCTAAGAAGCATACGAAAAGAAGACTTTTAATGGGATTTTTAGCGTAATATTTTTACACGGTTCATTGAATCGTCTTCTTTATTTTGTGGAATTTTCCTCTTAGAATGTATTTGGGAAAGCCCCAAAGATGAGCTGAAGAAACAGTTTCTGAGGTAAATAGAAACAACCTTTGAGCATGATCAAATCTTCAACGTAAATTTGTCACCTTCCACTTGAAAGTCAACACACTAAAACACGATTAAAATCAATTACTGACTTCTACATAAAGTAAGCGAATAATTTCAATTTATCAATTTTTCAACTTCTAACTTCTTCACATTTTATATTCTGAAATATCCACGAAATGAAATAAAGGAAAACAAATAACAAGTTTTATTTTCTTGACGTCAATCAAAATAAGCTTTAAATATGAAAAATTAATTCAAGAATTGTTGAAAGAATGATGAGAACAAGCCAACTGCCACTGTTGATAGATTAAACAGTTGGCTTTTAGAACAACAATAAACATTAATCACAGCACACAAACCTAAATGATGAATAAGTTAATGTAACCAATTGTGATTGTTTGAACATCATCTGTTTAAGCTTCTGAAGACATCACCTGAAAGAATTGTTTTGTTGTTCTTCTCAAAACACACAAAAAATCATAAACGTTGGACAGAACTACAACAAAGACACGAAAACTTTTATTGTATTAAATTAAACAGCCCTTCGATTTTATTTATTTCTTTTATTAATTCTTTTTGACACATTTTTTTAAAAACATTTCCTATCAGATTTGGGATCGTTCGCACATAACGTCGGTAATTATAAAAAAATTAATTTGATTATTGACTCAATATTATGACTAATATTGCATACATTTTCACTATGACTCTTTTAAGTTGGTCGAGATATTCTCACTTCAATGGCATTAGTTATAAATGTTGTCATGACGCAACAAGCGAACGAGCCCTTAAGATAAATATATTTTCATAATAATTACTTACACATAACATTTTGTGTTAACATAAATTGAGCAATTTAAGGCGCTTTGTTTCGCTTCTTTGAAAGCTATTACCATACGAAGGTTATGACCAACAAATTGAAGATCAAAAGAAGAATAATTTAGAAAACTTTTCCGAAAAATTTAAGAAGAAATCATTTGGAGATATCCAAGATATGTCACATTTTAATATATCTCGTTAATTCTCATAGATAATTAAAATTCTCCACTTCAAGATCTAAAACTTGTGTACCACAACCTTTAATTTAAATATTAACTAATTTATTCTTAATTGCCTAATAATATCCTAATGAAAAAAAAACGTACAAAAATTCGTCTTTATCGACTAAATAATTTTTTTTCTCCTCCAATAATTCTCCCTTCTATTTCCCCATTAGAAAAAGTTAGCATTTAAGTCTTTGAGTTTATGATTCTTCGTCATTACTGCTTGAAGAATTTATCGTCACCATGGGTTTAACATGATGCTTGTTGTGCGACGTGTGATGTGATTTTGGCGATGATTTCAGCAAGTGATAACTGTCGCGATGTGCAAGAATTCGATGTTGTCCATTGATAATGAGATTGCTTCCTCGTCTTAGTGATCTTCGTCCCATCTCAAGCAACTCAACAGTTGGGTCACTTGAGAATACAAAGTTCTTATACGCTCGAACAAACACGAAAATGATGATGAACGCACCACCAACAATCATCGCATAAGAGAAGATTGGAATGGCTGTAGGAGCGAAAACTGTTCCAAGATAAATCCATCTACGAATTGGTGGTGTCAACTCATTCACACCCTGATTAAAAGAGAAAAATAAAACGTTTAATCCATTGAATGATGGCAACAAGTGTTAAACTTGGCATTGAAAAATTCACCATGAGCATTAGAAATGAAAGAGAAAAATTATCTAAACAAAGCCCTTGAAAATAACACAAAAAATGTTTTTTTACCTCTTCGAGCCACATAATTGGAAACATAAAATCTCTGAACTTTTCAACTGCTTGGATGTTCGGCGTATGATCAACCTTAAGATTCAATTGAACACGAACTTTGCCTTCAACAGGGACGCCCAATTTCTAATCATTTTAATTCAAAATTATTATCAAGATCAAAAGTTTTGTAACTTTTTGTACGACTTACTGGTTGAATTTTGAAATATGTTTCATGAAGTTCTCGTTGCGGTGATAAACCTTCGACTTGCTTAAGAAATTTTGGATCTGATTGATAAAAGTGTGGATTTGAGATGAAAACTGGGGCACCTGTAATTAAGTGTTGAGTTATTATAATTATTTAAACATCTTCGTTAGACTTTGATGTTTTATGTCACTAATTATCTTAATGACTCTTTTTTTCCCTTCTTCTTTAATTTACTTACCATATTGACACGGACTTATATTCTGAAGTCCGTCTTCGGCTACGTAATCGTCTTCATTGAAGCATTGGTTGTCTTTATTCTTACCGCCGAAAATATCGCGCGGTAACAAATACAAATCAGCATCAATGCCTGAATATAATTAATATGTTTTTTGTCATGACTTGTGTCGCAATTTTCGTTTCTTAATAGTTAAATTATTTACCATCTTTGACCACTGACTTGGAATATTTTAATGGAATGATTCGGCATAAATCTTTGTCGTAAACATAGACTGTATCGGATTTTGTGATATCTCTTGGCGGAAAGAATGAACCTTCAGACGCGCTGATGTTGTAACATGGTGGTTCTCTCCAGAAAGGTAATCGATCGAGACCGTTCAAGCGGTCAATGTACCCAAACTTTTGCATTCCGTTCTCTCCTAGTCCAGTGTTGATTGTTGAGACTTCAGTGAGTGTTCCATTTCTCTGTGTTTAAAGAAATAAATCAGAAGTTTTAGTGATTTATGTTAATTACAACTTAAATTTAAATTCTCAAATCACTTAACAATTTAACAGTCATTGAAATATTTGAAACTCATTTCTATTTATATGCAGCTGACTACCTGGCAAAATTGACTAATGAACATTCGCTTCTTTTCTTTTCTTTATTTAAAATTGTTGAATAATATTAGCAGAAGATGATTGTGGGAATTTTAAGCAAAGCTTCGGAAATATTTTTCTCTTCACGTGTTTGTTTTATTCAAAGCTTTTCATTTCATAGATATTTAGACATTCAGATCTAATAATAAGATAATCTACGTTTGGGGTGATCTGGTTCAAGAATTTAGGAAGTGGAAAAGCTTTATTATTATCTACTTGCACTTAGACCTTCACTGTTTGTTGCTACGTTGATTTGACATTGACATTGAAATATTAAATAGGGAGAGTGAATGGAATGTGTGTGCTTGTAAAGTTGTTAAAGCTTCATCAAGTATTAATGTTAATTATTATTTTTTTAATTTCGGTTAAGAACCCTGCTGCTTATTCATCTTGACAATGACTCAATCGAAACCATTGACAAACACAAGCTGTTCACGTTTGTTGAGACTTTATTTCATGTATCAATTAATCAACAACGATTTTGATTGAATGTAATAAGTAGCGAGTTATTTAGTGCTTGTTCGCTGTCAACCTAGAAATTCAAATAACTTCTTAACTTATTCAGGAAGCATATAAATGTGTAAATTATTCTAATTGAAATAGTATCAAATTTTAATTGATCTTTTAATCTTTTTGATGTCATAAAAATATATTTAAGTTGTCATGTACTAGAGAGTTGAATTACTGTTAATTTATTTATTACTGTTATTGAAGCTCTTCGGCAACTTTAACTGTTAACTCATTAACAAAGGAATCCCGTGAATTTTTTATATTCAATTCAAAGCATCTTAATTGATTATAATTCATTAACTCTCGTCTGACAGTTTCATTGTTAAGAATATTAAGCTGTAAGCTTCATAATTAGGTAATCAATATTCGCGATTTTATAAAATCTAAAAATAAATCACGTGAAACTATTGATTTGAAGCATTGTTTATTTAATTTTAGTAAGTAAATATTATCGGTCGATTTCATCATCGTTCAATTTAATCCTTTTTCGTAGCAAAATTGTAAAATTTTTGAATAGCTTAAAATATTTTTGGTTTTCTTATACTTTAGTGGATTTAAATATTTCGTAGAGTGAATGAACTTAAAATATTAAATTGTAAATAAATCCATAATAACTACGCTTCACTTATTTAAAATAATTTATTTAAAGCAATTAGCATTGGATTGAATCATTAGGGAATTAAATTGATTTATAGTTCTAACATTTTCTCACATTATTGCAATGATAAAATATGTAGAGTAACTAATAAAATGATCAATAAAAATCCACTTAAAACCCACTTACAGATGAGATATTAATGATCCATGAGAAAATATTTTGATTTTGTGAAAAAGATTAAATAAATTAAATAAATTTACAATGAAAGCAACTTTGTGTGATGAATTACATAGCAAGTGCAAAGATACATGAAATACAAATCAACACCAATTAATTTGTTCCCTCAAATACAGATTTTTGACCTTAGCTGCTGAGTGGTATTTTATACCGCGCAGCAGTGAGCACTTCTCGTGTTCGCAAAACGTTTTTTTGACTTGAGAGATGATTTTTAAGGAAATACCTGCTGGTTTAGGTGTTATTTAACACTTGAATAGATTTTTATGATGACTAAGCCTTCAGGTGACCTCAAGGATGATGATTTAGCTACCTGAATATCATCTCCACCATATATTATAAACATTTTTCATTAGATTGATTAACAGTTAAATCATTGGTGCATTGAAGAGACTGCGTTTTGAGAAAACTCTCAAAGCTTCCCGAGTTTGGTCAAAAATAATTAATGAAGCTGATATAAAGTTAATAATTTTATTTTTTTCAAGGAATATTATCTCGAGTTTGACTTTGGACTTAAACATTGAAGAATGTAAGGTAAAATGTAAGTTTATAGCGATTAAATTTTACATCTAAATATTCATTCAGAGCTTATTGAATCAAATCAAAAGTTTTAATATATGAAAAAAAAATCGGAATATCTTAATAAATCAATTTTATTATAAAAGAAATTTTCAAGTGCTTATGAATAGAATAGAAGTTTTAAGTAGTGACAAATTGGATAATGATTTTAATTTATTTAAATCTTATTTTTAAATAATTTGAGAAAAGTCTCCAAACTTTAAGCACTTTTTGTATCTCTACAAAATTTTATGTTTTTGCAAACTCTCCAAATTTGTATCCTTAGCAAAGGTCAAAATCTCCGTTCCAATCGCTGAACAAAACATATTTAAGTGAAAAAAAATTGAAATTATTGTTTACAGTGAATTTTTGATCGTATTAAAGATTACAAAGCAATTTCAACTACTTAATAACCCTGTTAATAACTTATTGAAAGGTAAGTTGTTCAAGTGAAGTTTTTCAGATAAATTGAACTTCAAATTGAAAATGCATGGTACTCGAAATGTTTAACATGAATAGACAGACAGCTTGTCTTATAAAACCTATATCATATATTAACTTTCAACCTTGATTGCTACCACAATTAAACATAGTGGTCAGTCAAGAGTGGTAAATAGCTATAACGAGTAGTCACTCAAAAACCCTGTAGGTGCCACCTGATAATTCTTATTATTATGCCACATAAAGCATCACAATCGACCATAAATTTTCACATGTCATATTTTTCAGTCACACTCTCATCATTTGTCATAAAATTAACAGACAATTGCTTTCAATATTTCTCCAAAACCAAAATAATAAAAAAAAAAGTCATAATGACTTACTTGACAATAAAAATGCAAAAACATGACATTTATTTTAATTAAATAACAGCCAATGAGACGGTTTTGTGTTGCAACATGTTCAACATGCATCAAAAAACATCGAGTGTTAATAATTATTTTAATAAATGATTTTATTTTTCATTTTATTATAACACCAACCTTCCTTTTAATTTAATAATAAACGTTTTAATTTTCCTGTTGACATTTCATCGAAATCTCAATTTTCGTAAGTGTCGCATGATTTATGTCATTTGTGCATGAAACAAAAAGGAATTTCACATAAAAATGCCATCACGAACAGAGATGGAGATTATCAATAGTTATTTGTCCTTTACTTTGTTGCGTTTTGATTCATTTTTCTGAAGTTTCAGAAGTGTGGGTAGATATGCGTAAATGTTTTCTTTTTTGAAAATAATTGAGTTGCATGCTTTCAAAAGAAATGAAAAACCTTGAAATGTTAAATTTATTTAATTTATGGAGATGAAGTGAAGTTATTTATGAACAAGGTGTTGATCAACAAGCTTGATATGAAGTTAGCCGGCACTTCTGGGAAGCATTACACCAGCTTTGTTACTTTAAATCAGTTTGTTGTTTATTTCCACTTTTCGTTCTACGCTGCTTGTAATCAATTTGCTGCGGATAACGATAATAACTATTTGAAGTGTTTTCGTTGAAACTTCTCAGAAGTATTTGTGATAAAGCATCACAGAGTTAATCAATACTTTGAGAATACGCACGCAAAATTTTTATTGTTCATTGGCGAATTAAAATCGAGAAATTGTTTTACTAATTGAATTCCTGAAAAAAGTAATTTATCTGACGCATCTTAAATTATTTTAGAGTTAATTTCCGCTGCTTCTTAGTATTTAATGAACTGATTGAAGGTTTTCGGTGTAGCAAAAAAAAGTTGCTTTAACTACTAATAACAGTTTAACGCTGATCAATTGAAGTATTCTACGTCGCATTTCCATGAAAAACAAAATAAGTTCAATAAAGGTCAGGCTGTTTAAACTAAATAACAGTTTTTTGTTCCACACATGCTTAAATAAGGAAGAAAATTTATGAGCTGCAATTAATCGGCAGATTAATCTTCAAACGACACAACAATGTAAACATTAAAATCTCCTTTCATAGTAGAAAAAAGTTAGCACGTTTTCTAAAATCGATTACAATTTATGTGATCATTTGAGGTGACAAAGCAGAAATAAAACTAATAAACAAATCATTTGAAATTCTAAAGAAACTTCAATAAAAAATTTACAATTAAGAAAAGTTTTGTAGGGAATTCCAAACTGACTCGAGACGAATGCGTGACGAATTGAATTCAAATTGAATATCTTCACTCACCCCATTAAGAAGTCCCATCTTTGCCATAGGCCGTTTATTCCGCGGATAAAACTTATGCGCTAAACTGACCAGCGTGTCGTCGTAACCAAACACCAGCTCGTCAGCAGTAACTGACAAGAAAGGCTTATACTTCGCTGCTGTTAGCATCAGTGATATCGTTTTCGACACCACATATCCAAGCCGCTTACTCTGCGTCGTAAGTGTCTAAATTATTAAATGGAAAGGAAATAAGTAATCGATTAAGTCATTGAAGTTTTTGTGTTTGCTCAATTAAAATTAATTGCTTGACATCTCGCTCCAACTTAACAAGACATACTTACAAGTAGTGGAATATTTGGCGTAATTATTCGAAGATTCTTATCAACGCTCAGCTCGGGAACGAATTGCAAAATCTTCTTGTGCTGGTATGAAACAGTGTAATTATCATAAAACTTAACATTTACTTTTTCCATGTCTTCCCTGCGAAGAGAAAAGAAACCAAAAAATGTAATTAATGGTGAATCTGATTAATTTAGTAACAAGCAAGTATATTTTGATCTAATTTTAATTGCACAAAAACAATGTTACAAGGTAAATTTTACAACGTAGATATTCATTTACGCAATTAATCAATGCAGAAATTAACGTGCTAATAATTGAAGTTTAAAAGTAGTTATAGAAATTGCAATGTCGAGACTAACGTTTACAAAGTTTTATGAAAGAGAAAGAAAACTCAATAAAGGCGCAAGAAAAATTGGGTCATACCTGAGGCCTCTCAAGGCGTAAATATGACTAAGTTGTGGATAAAAATCTTTCGATGATGAGTGCGCACATTTCTCAAGTTTCTCCATCTCACATTTCAAGGAGTACCGTATGAGAATCTCGCTACTGTAATTCACTTTCAACACTTTACCAATTTTCTTGTCTCTTACAATGTCTCTTGAGCTAATCAAACTGCAATTTTTATGTTGATCTCACTTGAAATTGAAATTCAATGAAACAAGCGAAGATATTTTCATAAGCTCAGTGATATAAACAATTATTGAATCACCAAAATGAGGTTTGATTATCTGTTCACTAGACTCTGACTGTCATTGTTTTGTGCAGTGTAAATAAATATCTGATACAGTGGATTCTCTTAAAATTGAATAAAAACTGACTCGGTAGATGCAGTTTCAACAACATTCGCATCGACGATCAGTTAAATTGCAATGCTAAATTTAAACAATCATTTTGTCATCGATTACGACCTTTCAACTTCAATCTTACTGTTTATTTATTTAACAATAATTTTCCAAATTGAATTCTGTATTGATGAGGGAGAGAAATTGAGCTTATCTGACTAAAGATAGAAACTTTTGAAACATTAAGCGGTTACAAAGAGTATAAAATTGTTGCAGAATTCTCATTCCTATGAAACAAGTTTTATTTATTCCAACTCTCCACTGGTTCGACAGTCACTGGGCTATCAATTGCAACTATTTTTTTCTTTTTATGCACATAAATCTGGCAGCTCATTGGCCAATTGCCGTTTTTCTCGAGTTATGATACGATGAAGCCAGCGGTGGAGTATGGAGAAAGATCGAGTTTATTACATAAATTGACCAACATATATTAGCTTTTCTTTACGAAATTTTTCTCTTTTTTTCATTTTTGTGTTAGCATTTAATGCCAAGAGTGAAAATGTGTACAAACATAAGCACATGCCACCATCTACTTTGTACATGTTTGGAAAGGAAAAATCTTTATTGACAAATCAATGAGCGAAATGTATTTATTTACTGCTAATTTGTGCAACTGTTATAAATGATTTGATAGGCGATTTTATGGATAAATAATTTTATTTTCGCCACAACAAAAAACTAAAAAGAAGGAAAGTGAAGCCACATAATAATTCATTTTCCCAGTGGTTTTTTAAGTCATTCAGTCTTTAAATGGTTTCTCTTTCATTTACTGTTTAATGATGATGATTAAAAAAAAAATCGGTAATGTGTATGGCGTTAGGTTTGATATTTTTGCATAGTAAACAACCATAACCATGTAACAGTTTACCGTTGATCTATACACATATCCATGTGAATTGCAATGTAAATTTGTGCAATTATTGCAACGAGAGACATTGGTTAAGACGAGATGCATTGGTATAATGAGATTTGAAAAATTTATTATTTATTTAGTTTCCTTGAGAAATTGTTGAAACTCCGAGGATTTGTCGTAGAATTGTTCAAAGTTCATGGAACAGCAATTATCAATGAAATGTGTAAAGTAGCCAATCATATAATTTCCATCTACTGTCGCTTTACTTTGATCTCAGATTTTAAAGAATTGTTGCACTTTACACACAAGCTCCAAGCACAGCAAGGAATAAAAAAAAATAAGTAAAGTTGTAACAGTTATTGGAGATGTAAACAAAAGTTGTTTAAGTTGAACAACCTTGGACTCAATCGATGTCAAAAACTATTGCAAGTTAAGAATTCTAAGATACAAATTTGTAAGCAATTGTGAGTATTACTTGCTTGTATCTGCTTAGAAACTTCCTGAATCAACATTTTTTTCTTCAATTTATTAACTTCATTGAACTTCTGTAACATTTATGCTCATATATTTCTTTTAGATACTCTCAGCATGTCTCAAGTTATTTATCTTAAAGGTTTTAAAAAGACATTTATTTAAAAGAAGCTGTAAAGATGATTTATCTTCAGCTTTAAGTCATAAACTTGAGACGATTTGTATGTTCACTTAGGAAGGGAAGTGGGACTGACTTACCTATAAACAAAAGGTCCTACTTCAACTAGTTTTGGTTTCTCTCCATTGAGAAATTCTTCTGGATTTGTAACATTAAAAATGTAGACTTTTGTTAAACGTATCACACCTGGACGTTGCCAATAGTGGAAACTAAGCGTTCCATTCCACAATCTTAAATTCTGTAATGATAAAAAATGTTTAATAAATTGGAATGTTCATGAATATTTAGCAAAACTTTTTTTACCTTTAAAATAAAATAATTTAACCAAGGAACAGACGATAATATGACACCAGCTATTAAAGTAATTATACCAAACACTATCACAGCCACACGATCTGTAAATGAAGTAGAATAATTTCAGTAAATTTATAAATGCTGGATTAAAGCTTAACATTCCAAAATTTTGTTAATTTATTTTGCTAACTGACTGAGGTAATCTCCTGCTTCGGTCTCACTCGCAAGCTGTGTCAATACTAGTAAAGTTAAACTTCCAAATTGATTCTCGTTTTTCAAGTACAATTCATATTGATAAAAGAAGAAAAAAAAAGATTCTTTACTCCTCGGTAGCAACCAAACTTATCTTCAATCCCAATGAACTTTAGGCAAAGCTACTTAAGCTCAGTTACGTTTATTAATATGCAAAAGAGAAGGTTTCAAAATCAAACAATGTGCAAAGTCTAAAGAAGTAGTGATGAGAAGCTCTTAATATCATATACGAAGGTCAAGTACTCGTGTTTGTAAAGCTTCACTATACGCGTAGATAAATCCAACAAATATTCATTCATTTGCTGATTTAATAATTAAAAAACAAATAAAATACTAATTAAAGCATTGGGTCATTTTTTGGAAGTAGCTGGATGGGTTGCCATCAAATGGTTTGATTTAATTCGACATTCTGTGTGTATGTGAAGATTTTTCATTTACACCTGATTGAAAAATCGCACCTCATTTGAATACCTATAAGCGTCAATGAATGATCACACAAAATTATTAGTGGTCATGGCATTGATAATGACACAAATGCTGGCTAAATATAAAACGACAACGACAATTCCCTCTGTTAACTTGTGTATGTCGTTTACATAATCTTTTGCTTTTCTGGTAGGCAAACATCATGTTTTAGGCAATTTGTTAGCACAAACTTTTGTGGAGGTTCTAAGGAGCTTATGCAATCTTTGTTTGTTATGATAACAAACCACAAAACCTGCTTCATACACTTTAGATAAACTAATAAAGCACGCTAATTATAATTTTCATTTAACTTCACAAATTTGATTGTTGAAGTTCAAATTTGATCTTTGATTCTTCTTTGTCTGTTATCTGATAGATTCACCTTGCTGGCTATCTTATCTATTAGTTTTATAGTTTTGTTAACTATGCACACTCGCAAGACATTGAACTGCTTTCTAAGTGCATAGGAAATTTCCACTTACAACTTAAGCCAAATGACGTCAGTAAGAAGAATTTTATTTCTTTTCATTTGAGCACACGATTAAGATTCTTGTTTTAACATTTTCTTCTTTAAGCTTAAGTGGGTTTGCAGGAATGTTGTTTATCTAAATAAGAGAGCATAAAACTCTTGCACCACAAAGTGTTGTGCCATCAGAATACTGCTTTACATTTTATTCAAGTTTTTAATTCAGATGACTTTAAAATTTATGCAACAAAACATTTCCATGCTCTCTTTATGATCTACAAAGATATCGCTTTCAATAAATATTTAATGTTAATTAAAAGCTTTACGTTTCATTGATTTGAGGCTAAGTTGACAACTTCTGCTACATCTTTTAGCAAACAATGTATTTAAACATTTGGTTTTAATGAAGAATAATACATCGATCGCCTTGGCATTTCTTAAAAAGATTTTTTCACTTCTTCTTTCCCTGAATCGACGGTTAACAATGGAAAATGAATTGATGATCAGTTTTGATGGCAGTCTATGGTCAATAATGAAAATCTATTCAAAATGAGGTATTAAAAATCTGATTCTTTGACATTTGCATAAAATTGATTTTATATTAAAGTTCAATGGCGAAATCCTTACAAACTTCTTAAACTTTGACTGGTCTTGAAAAGCATTTAAAGCTCTTTTTTTAGAAAGTTTCTTTTTGTGATTAAACCAGACGAGTTTACAGACAAAGTAAGTAATGTTCGATCCATTAAAATCCCCCGCGATCTGTTCTTGTTTTTGAATAATTTCTTCGTAAATTAACTTGATTTAATTATTATACTTGTTGATAAATACTTCTTTTGTAGAAAAAAACACATTAAAATGTATGTCAAGGTCCTGGTAAATATTTTGTAAATTATACGCTTGAATTAATCTCATTTAAGCAGAAAACTTATGTGCATCAATAAGATTTGCATGCTTCAATTTTAATTCACCTGCAATAACTCATTAAGTAAAAATTCTTTGATATGTTCAAGCACGATCGAACTTTGCAATATTTCAAATTAAACCGATCATATGTTCGAGCTTTGAAGGAAATAAGAAAAAAAATTAAAGACAAATACACATACATAAAAAAGTTAATTGCAGCACAGAAAATTCAAGTAAATTTTAACAACAAAGATGTTCCATCGACAAATGATGTAACATTTACAATATTAATTTTAATTTAGTCTAAAACTCTCATTGAAATCAATTACGAAGTGTTTGGAATGCCATATGAGATTAAACTAACAGGTGGAAACGCTGTTGCGTTTTTACAAATCTCTAAGGCAATATTAATAACCATGCAATGAAACAAAAACAACAAAAAAACTTCGGCTATGAACAAATAAAACTTCCGTGGCATGTTAAATGTGAGAGTGAAAAGTTTCAAATCAAAGCTCTTTTTTTTCCATAATTTTCATGCCCATGAAAAATTACTAACCGAGTCTCTAATGTTGATTTGAGTAATTCGAGTATTAGTTCATACATTTTATTTTTCATTACTGTTCATTAATCAAGGTCGCTTTAAGCTTCGCACAGATGCCTGAGGGAAATTTGATGTTGGTTGATTGTCTTCAAGGTGGAAAGAAGCTTGATGTGTATGAGTTTTATTTATTTATGATTGAACAATGTTCAATAGCAAGAATCTTCAACTTTTATCAACACAACTCGAAGATGTCTGACTCTGACATGATCTTATTTATTCACAATCCTTTTCATTTTGTTTTTTGTTGGAGCTTGATAAATATAATTATAGTGGTTTGACAAGCATCGTCTACGAGTTTCAGTTTCAAACGTAATGTTATTGAATATCAGGTCAGTAAGGTAGTAAACTAAAGCAAGAAAATGCATTGCAAACAAGCTGCAGTTTGAAAAAGATTCGAGTTTTCATATAAATATAATTTTTAATACTATTTAACTTTATGTATGTGCATTTAGAGTCAACGTTACGCAATGTTTTGTTATGAGTGAAAACTTTATTAGTGCATTCGCTTTATTTCCTTTCGTCAAGTAATAAAAGTAAAAGCTTTAATAAGTCTGGAATTCTTTAATTAAATAAAGATCAACGACACTTTACTGTGATAAACTCTAAAGCAACTTCCATTCAAGGCACAAATTTTTTATTCCACAATCTACCGAAACCTTCTTTCATTTATTTATAGTTCAAAGCCACTTCTGTTATGTCTCGATTGACTTGTACTATCTTTAATGAAATGTTGTGCTACCAAAGCTTGCAAATATTTTTTTTTATTTTTGTAAATTATAAAGCGTAAAAATTATTTCTTAATCGACAGTGGAACTGTCATTACCATGATGACAATCAGATGTTTTCAACGTCTCATGACAAGAAGATGAGTTGAGGAATATTTGTCAACACCGCATTAACGATGACAACGACTAATGCGTGTGAATTTGTCGTTCAAAGAATTATTATCATTTAACCTGCAGGTCATGTAGAATCAGTTTTGATTTTTCATAGGATGACCAGGTGTACAAATTAAGAAAGAAATTTATGAACCGTTCGATAGTTGAAGAGATAAAAGCATTTACATGAAAACGAAAAGTCAAGTCATCAATTTGTGATCTTTGGCCATCCTTGAAAATGTGAAATGAAAAAAACAAAACACAAGCATACGGACACTACCGTCAATTATCTTGTCGAACGTTGTAGAAAAAAAAAGCATCGCGACTTGTGAGTTTGATCATAGCAGTGAGATGTGATTTATGGAAATCAAAAGATGTCAAATCCACTTACTACTGTTGAATTTAGCTCCATAGGAGATGAGCATCGAGAGAGGGGTTGAACCACGATGTACACGCGGTATTCCAAATATTTGATTGCTCGCATTTTGACCGACTTTCAGGTAATTTTTGTGTAATCCCATATTAAAGTTGAGGAGTTTTTGTGTGCTTTATCAGGTTGTTTGAGCCTTTCTTCGATGATGTTGAACGTCTGAAATCACAAAAGACAAAGAAAAAGAAGAAATCAAATAATGGAATTAAACTTTTAAATGCAGTCATAATCATGAAACAAGAATCAGCTTGAAGCAAAATATTTTCCATTATAATATTGCATTCTGCTTTAAGCTATTTGCACTGATACTTGCTTAGATATAACTTCGCTTACTACAGCAAAAAAGCAACAAAGTTTTATAATGGAAAAGCAAAATTTCAAACGTACATGAATGTCATTGATCTTGACCTAAACATATTTATTTCACAACAGTCTCAATCTCTATAAATTCTTCTCTGATTCATATTTTTATTTTATTTTTTTCATCACACTTGCACTCTCAGTCGCAATTTTTATTATTTTTTTGGCATCGATTAATCTCACTTTTATTTTCGTACGAGAACGCAAAACGTGCTTCTAGTTGGAAACAATTATTTTATGTACTGTGAAGAAATAAGAGAAAAAATGTGTCCAGTGCGTTGCCTCGGTTTCTTTGACAGGGTGATATTTCTCCATTCTGTTTTAATCAGTTTCAAAAGCATGAAATAAGCGTGAAGAAGCAAATCGAATGTTAACATTAATCGGAATCGAATTCAGTGAAACTTTCGAAGCTTTATCTCTTTAGAGAAAGAGAAATAGCTGAAGAGTTAACGCCCGGTGGCGAATTCATCATAAAAGTATCAATTATTTTGACCCTCGGCGCGCAGAATATTGCAAAATCTTCGTTTATTAATAAAAATGTGTTGGGTGATTGTCCGAGATTTCTTCATGACATATAAAGGCAACTCCATAGAATAGCGAACTTTATTGTGATTTTGTCTGAATATTTTTTTTGGCAATTATTGCCTCGTGTAAAAGTTGAGTAGATTATTCCAAATTACATTTTACTGATAAAGTGCATTCACTTGGCAATTATTTTTTGGGCAGCATCTTCATTTGACTCGGTAAACAGTCTGGGAAGATTAATTTTAGTACTTTATTGGACAACATTGATGACCGAAAATTGTTGGGAACTTGAATTTCGTCGAACATCTGCTAATTACTTCAAAATATGTGTTTTTGATAAGAACGTCACGAAAGTTCAAAGTAGACAAGACGTTAATTAATTGCAAGTGAAATTAAAATTCTTTTCATCATCCTGCGAAGAAGATTTGAAATAATTGTTCAGCTTATGCAATCAACATCATAATTAATGCTATCATAATCGTCAATGTAAACAATGAGGAAAACTGAAGAAAAATATAGAAAAACGTTACTGATTGTGTAACTTTCACGGTCTACAAGCAGACACTCGACCAGACCTTGACATTGAATGTTTGTGTTATTTTCTTTCTCTTTCGTGAATATTTCTTGATACTTTCGTTTTTAAAGTAAAATAAAAATGTGAAAAAATAAGAGAAAATATTTTCAGCCTCTTTTAACACAATGATAAATTCATCTTGTGATGCTTCACGATTACAACAGCAAGTAAGACTGCGAAAAGTTAAACAACCTCCGTACAAAAGCATATGTGTACATGAATATTAATAATACAAGTGAATTCAAGTGAATGAAAGAACGAGCATCACAAAAAAAGTTATCGAAATAAATAATGTTGATATTTAAACATTTTAGTTGTGGGTTATGTGGAGTTATCATTAGCATACTTCAATTGTTAGGCAGACGATTTTGGTTGGTTTGTTTGCTTGTCTCATTTTCTACTCAATAAAAAAAACTTCAAGTCATGATTTTTGATTGTTGAAAGCTTGTGGTTGAAATGATATTTAACTTTAATGACATTAACTGTTTCTGTGTGTCCTGAAAGGAGTGAAATGTAGATGAATTTACCTGAATAGGATAAACAGGTCAATTGCGGCAAAAATTCAATATCACGGTTTATTTCTTGTTTCCACTATAAATAAATTGGTGCTATAAAGTCGAACTTGCATGCACACAGTTGAGTTATGCAATCGGACAGATAATACATCGAACCAAGCTATAAGTACAGAAATCTTTTTTTATTTTCTGTGAAATATTGTCGGAAGAACGAGCTTTGCGTGTTTTCACAATTGTTGGAAATCAAATAACAAATCAATAAAAATTGTTTGGTGATTTTTGAAACATCAACAATTTTGTTAATAATGTTTGGTAATTTCATTCAATAACATAATTGAAGCAAATCCGAGAATAGTGACCTTCATCTCAAGCTGCTGCTGTTGCTGCTGTTTATGAGTGAATTAACATCTTCGAGCACAGTTCACCAACATATAAGTTGGTCTCTATCTTGACTCCTTGACTTACAATTAAAAGTTTTATTAAGGTTTTTTTTAAGGAGATAATTTGAAGGAAAACTTTTAATCGCTTTTTATAGTAATTTGCTTCTTTTGATTGCAAATTCTTATGACAATGGAAAGTGTGGTAGATGAGAAGAAGTAAAAAAAAAATGTAACCATTAATAAAGTGTTAAAACCTTCAAAGATATTTTTCTCGTATATTTATTTGAGACTTGAAAAAAAAGGAAAACAACGAAACATGCGACACCAACCTTGAATCTGTCTAAAGCTTTCTACAGACATACAATTGTTCGGACCGACACAAATATATTACCGACACTCGAAAACAGAAGAAGAAGTTATGAAAAAAATAAAATAAAATTCAATCATGGTTTAATTACTTCAACACTAAACGCTGTTAACAAATTTGGAGAGAAAAAAAAATCATCCATTGATGAGATGAGTTGCGATCACTGGCGCTTCTTTAAATTCATAAAGCATTTGGTCTAAATTATCTCATCATTTAACGTGAACCAATATGGAAAGATCATGCAACGTCTGTCTTTCACGCTTTTCTTCAAAAAATGAAACAAGTCGATCGACAAGCTGCTATATTAATAAATTTGTGTTTCAATGAAAGTATTTTTTGAATATTGAAGTTGTTCATTCCCAAACTTATCGATGTTCGTGTATCCTGAGATGTAAATTGCAACAGATAATTAATTCAGAGTCTACATATAAAACTCCTCAAAGCGATCTCAGAAATGTAAATAAAGGAAAATCAGGAATAATTTAATTGGAAGTGGTGACTTCACTTAACGTACACCATAACAGAAACTACAATAAAAATGCATGTTCCAGTTTAAGGGCACTGTGCAATATATTTTGGTGAATGTTGGATATTTTTTTGCATCACTACGCTGTAATATTTGTTACGACTTAAGAAATCAATAAGTTGGTTTTTTAAGTCTCGTTCATTGTATTCTGATTTGTAAATCGTAAGTTAATTAAGTTTAAGTTTTGTTTTCACTTTCAATGTTGATTGCATCGTAAACGTTCTGAAGCACATTAAATGTTTAAGCATCGCAACTTTTAATTTCTTCAAATGATTTACTCGTTTTGAATAAAGCGTGTCAGCGAGAAAGTTATGCAATTTGAGACAACATCGGGATAATAATCATTTAATGTGTCTTTCAATGCCTATCGAACAGACATTGATGCAGATCTATTGCAAGAAAATGAATGAAAAACTGGATAACACTGTAACTATATGGCACCATCACACAACATCATGAGCAATACTTGTTATTTAATGATTAACTTGAATCAAATGAAAGAAACATGAAAATACCTGCTTTCATGAAACAATTTCATTGACTTGGGTCAGTTATGTGTATTGTTCGCAAATGCTTTTGTTTCTTTCCTTTTTTATTATTTGCGATACTCAAACGCATCTGTTGTGTAATGTACTGTTAAATTTGAGAAGAAAAGAAACGTGCAAAATGCATAATTTAATGCTTTATTGATTATTGAATTGTGTCGCTTCAAGTGTTACTTTGACAACATCAAAATATGTTAAAATAAGCGAAAGAAAAAAAAATTAAAAACTTTGTCAGGTTCGTCGCTTGTGCAAGTTACAAATTCTTTTTTCTTTCCCATCATTTAACATTTTATGAAGCCGAACGATTCTGTTCATCTTTCAGTCATTCCAGATCAACTTACTTATCGTAAACTTCTACTTACACACAAGGAAGTCCTTGAAATTGCTTTACTTGCATTCATTCTGTTGGGGTTTTCCACAATCCAACTACAAACACATTAATTCTTACGTGAAATTAAAATGCGTTTCAATCAAAGCTACTTCTTTAGGCAATTAAAAGTTTTACGTTACGCCTTTTTTTTTGTTTGTTCAGTTTCAAATTACAGAAATTTTCATAGTTTAAACATTTCTCTATTACATGTGTTTAAAATTTTGCGTTGCATAGAAGCTAATTTTTCTTTTTTTCACCTTTTTTCTTATGCAAGTTAAAGTTAATCTTCGACTCACAAAATTCATATTTTTTCCTATGTCTAAAACCGTAGCATGTTAATATATGTTCGATTTTAATGCTACCTGAATGAATGTGTGTGGCAGTAGACATTTTTTTTTCAAATCACTTCAATTATTTACTTTAAAATTGTACAACAACTTTAACACTATTCAAAACGTTTACGAAATTGCACCGAAAAAATAAAAACTTTTCTTCCACCTCAGTCAAATCAGTCTTTGAATTATTTTTTTCTTTTACTTCTTCATCGTTCGATTTTGTTTTGATGGAAGAAAATCGAAAATTTTGAAAGTTAACAGAGCGAAGAACTTTCCCAAAAATTGTTGTGATTATGATTTTGATATGTTTGGTTGTTATTAAAATTTTCTACTCACCTTAATTTTGATTTCTTAAATCACTTTGAAGTAGTTTTTTCGATATCCTTTTTGAAAAATGTCTTTCGTTCATTGAGATAATAATTTTTTTATCTTCCAACACTTTCAACATGTGACCAGCATCTACATAAACGATTATATGTTATACAGATATGTTTTTATTATGAGTGTAAACATGTTACGTATAATAAATAATTCTTTCGTGTTATCTTCAACTTAATCTCATGGATTCTTCTATTGACTTTGGGTTCGATGTCTTCTGTTCCATTAAACAAGTTTAACTTCATTTCCTATTCCCAGGGAATGAAAACGTGTTTACGTATATGATAATTAAATTGCATTCCCAACAGTCACCAGAAAAATAGACGAGAATTAGGTCGAAGCAACATATATTTAAGCTAATGAAACATACCGGTCGTATATCTTCACTGAAGAATTCTTTTATATCTATTCTCATTCTAATTGATAATTGAATGTTGAATGAATTATTTATACGCTTTAAGAATTTTTCTTTATTATCTTTAAAAACAACGACACTTTTTGGCACTAACTTGTGAAACGAAAACTTTTAACATCACCTCCAACATTGAAGCTTTATTTTATGTTTTAATATTTATCACAGATTTATGTTTACTTTAAACACTTGCAAAATATTTTTTTTATTGCTTGATTTTTAATATTTTTTCGAAATATCCTTTTATGAGGATAACCAAATGATATCCTTCCCAGATAGATTTGATTGCACTGCAGAAGTTCAATGTTGGATCGATTTAATAAAATTTAACAAGGCACTTAAAAAAATTTCCTGCTCAAAATTCTTCGATAAGCGCTAAACCGCGAAAACGTCTTATGCTTGCAATCGCGAAATGTAAAATGATTTTACCTGAAACTGAAAATTTTTCATTTTAACTATACAGCCCCAGTAAATAAGTAAACTCAAATAATCGTGTAAACTGAGAAGTTGAGCGTTGTTGAAGAAAAAAAATCACATTGCTCAGTCTCTGAGGCATACTAGCGTAAGTGTTGTTTCTCTCTTCGAGCTTAAACGTAATGTAAGAAGATTTAAGCTTGTATGTCTGATTTTTTGCGAGAGCCAACCTGTTCATCTTTAAATTTTAAGACTAAATGAAAAAAAAGAAGTGACTAGTGAGTCGTAATGTTATCATGCGAGGAGACTTCAGAAGAAAAAAATGAAAAGAGAATTGAAATGTTTATACTTTTTATTGAATTTCTTTGTTTTGCGGAAACAATCATAGACGTGTTTTTAAGGTTGATTAATGTTCATTTTAATTATTATTTACATGCATTGCATTTGTAAGTTCATTGCCATAAGCAAAATAAAAAAAAGAGATAATTAGATACACTTTTAAATCGATGCTATGACGACACGTTTTACACCTTAGAAATGTGGATTCCCCTTCCTTGATTTTATTCTTATTTATGTTGTTGTTTAGCTGTAAAGCCAATTGATGGAATATTCTTATGATTATAGCGCATTTTTCTCTTTTATTACATCACTTCACTTAACAGTATCAGAAGAAAAACCCATAACGATGACTGAATAAATAGAAATGAAACAGTTTTTGCCAATCTCATCGTTTGATGTTCTTTTTTGGGTAAAAATATGTAAACAGCGATATTGAAAGCTAACAAATAATGTGACATAATTCAGTGAACTTGTTAACTATTATAATTTTGTCTTCATTGAAGATTCCGAGAAGACAATGAAAAGTAAATACATAACGAAGCAACGACATTAATGTTGGAAATATTTGTCTACAATGAAAGAGAAATTGACCCTTAAAGCTCATGATGATGATGATGATGATGCATGAAAGTCTCCAATATTACCAACAATATTTTCAATGTCACTGCTTCGTTGAGTATTAACAAACAAGTTGTGAGTGATGTCAAGTTGCTGAAAATTTATTTCACGATTAAAAAAGAGAGATAATTTTTGGGGAAATACTAGCGATGAGATTTTCTAATAAATAATCAAGGCAATCAAGTTATTACATCCAGATAACTTTATCTATACAAATGCTTACGGATCTAGTAACATGAGTAAAGACGGCAGATGATGCTTAGCAACTGAATGTGTGCGTTGTACTTTACTTACCATCTACCAACTTTGATTCATGAAAGCTTCTCTTAAGTTATATGCGGCACTCTTAGCCGAAAAAGATGAATATTGTTAAACTTAATATTGACTGTTGACAAAACGTTGATAAAAGAATATTTAAGAAAGAAAAAAAACGACAACCAGGAAGTTGAAAGACTGTTTAAAATAAACGCAAAGTTGAATTAGCTTTTTTGGATGATGGCAAAGGCGATGTGCGAATTCTAATTCTTTTATTGACTTTAGATAATTTGTACAAATCTTTTTTTTTCACATCTTCTTCAACAACGTCTTCATGTCTTATGAATTATGTTCCCTTATTAAGTACTTCTCGTTGTGAAGAAAGTACTTTCAAGCACAATAAAAAACATATGCTTTATGCTTCCCGTTTTATGATGTTTTGGAAACAAATTTCAAAAGCATTAATAATTTGTAACAAATGATGTTGTTAAAGAAACAATTTTTCAGAAGAAAAATAAAAAAGAAAACTTTAACGAGTTGAACAGACAGCATTGCTCTGGAAATTATTGTTTTGTGGATAATAAATTTAAAATATTATGTACCTTGTTTTCACACACGAGTTAACTTCAATTTGTGACAAATCTAAGTATGTTGGGAATAATAAAATGAAGGGGCAAATAATTTTAAATGTACCTCTGAACAGCTTTATGGTTTACTCATTGAGTAATTTAAACGGATTCGCTTTAAATGTCTGACTGGTAAACATTAAACATTCAATTAAACATAAAAGATATTCCAGTCAGTATTCAAATGAATTCATTTACGTACGAGAATAAAATTGATTGACACTGTAAATATCTAACTATTCTTTATTTATAAATATTTACACATTCATATTGTTTCTGTAGAATATTTATGATAGATTTAGGTATGAATTTTGAAATTGTCTTCTATTTGACAAAGACTGAAAAATATTTTTCCGGTCACATGACTTTCTTTATCACCGAACGATCAACTCTCAACCCTTTTCAAAAACATTTAATTTCTGCATGAAGGGATAATGAACAACAATAGCATGGAAATATGTTAGAATAATATAATACAAATCAAAACAACATATATTTCATATCACTTATTGTAATCGAATCGGCAAATTAATGGGCCAATTTGTTGCCAATAATCTTTGCCCACCTTTTTTAATTTACGATATTGCAATCTAATATCTCAGTCTTTTATGACGCAAACATTTATTTCTTTCTCACATCTACTTAAGTTTCCTTCATCCGCTTTTTATTATGTCGCTCGTTAGTCTTTGCACCATTTTTCCTTCGAAAAGCAGAGAATTAAACTCATTTCAACAGTCATAAAATTATTTTCCCTAAGTAATCCAATTAGCGTAAATTAAGTACGAAGGATAATACGGTAGCATGAAGAAAATATTTTTCTCATCCTTATTTTAAATCAGAAACACGTGACCAGAACAAATTTTTTGTTTTCATTACTCAATGCTATGGAAATTCATCAGATGACGCAATCTGCGTTTCATCGAAAAATTTTCCGTATGATTTTATAATTTCATTAAATTCATATTTTATTAATTTTCATATTTAGTTGCTGAGACGAATGAGAGTGAAGAAAAGGGCGCTCTGCTTGAATTGTTTAATATTTTTATTCTGTTTTGTGTCGGTGACAGATTTTTGTTTCGGGAAATTATATTTAGCACCCCTCTTTGGCTTTATGATATCAAGCGACACTTTCTGTTACGGTGCTAAATACTCTAGAGCGCTTTTGCAATACAGCACATAAAAGAATCTTAAGAGAAGTTACTTTACACGTTTAATGGGATCATATAATAAACATTTTTACATTTATAACATGCTTATTGGTACTTCCTATCCCTCGCCGCTCTACGCTCTTCCTCCACTCTATCTCTGTTAAATATATTTGATTTTACGAGGGTTGAAATATCCTTCGATTGTTATTTTTATTATTATTATATTTTTCTCGCAATTCAATAAATTTTTTGAGGTAACACTTGCAGTTGACGTTTATATGAAAAGAATACATTTCCACTTTCTCGCATGCTTTATAAAGTCTTATGCTACTGCCTTCCATGTTTCTCGTTCTTATATTCCTTTTTATTTAACACTCTATCGAATTAAATTGAGACATATTTTACTTTAATGCGATCAGAGTGTTTATAAAACAAAAGATTAATGTCGCTTAATGCTTTAATTCCTTTCGATTAAGGAAGGAAAGTTTATTTTCCTTCTTCTCATCTCATCAGTCGATTTATCGATGCAAAGAATGAAAAAAAAAATTCTGTTCATGAATGAGCGAAGATGGAAGTTTTATTGAAGAACATGTCAAGAGCAGATGTTGTGTTGAAACCTTTTACTTCGAAAACTTTTACTTCAAATGTTAAATTGCACATTTGTGAGATTCTTAAAAGATTCTCCATCAATAAAATATCGTAACATCATGAAAATATCATCAACTTAAATGCTGCCAACGATCAACACTCATAATCATAATTTCATAATCCTCGTTACTCCATTCCAGAATGTTCCTTGTACCATCCCCATAGACGTTGTACATATTATGATTATTTTTCTTGTGCAATAAATTTTATTACCATTTTCATCGTTCATCCCCATCACAGCTCTCATGCATGTTTTAAAAAGAACAAGAGCAAGCACACAATACATAATTTCTTCTGACCGTGTTCTGCCATTTTTGTTTGGAACAAGATTCGAAGCAGCAAAAAAAAACACTCCTTGTAAATATATAAGATAAAAACCATCATCAAATATTTAAAAGATGCCATAAGTCGAGGATATAAACCTCAAACAAACGAATGCTCCCCAACCATCTAAATTGAGCTGTTTTCCGTAATTCTTTTATTGATTTTCTTTTCTTTCTTTACACATTTTTCTCTCATTTTTGCAATGCAGGGAAAAAACATATTCGGGGCTCCAAAAATCGTATTTTCGACTTCCTAAATATTTTCATGAACATTATCATCACATAAAAAAAATATTTCATCCTTATATTCCTTACATGAGAATGTGTTCGAAGCCACGCCCCTTAATCTTAAGAAAAATATGGCTAGAAAATAGCTTGAAAAAGGAGACAGGAAAATGGTATAAAATGTTTTACTGTGTGTGAGACCCTTTTCATATCTTTTATACGATTTTCATTGATTGAAGGACTGAACTGAGTTACTATCAAAAGTCACAAACCAACATAGCGAAGAGGAAAAAAGGATATAACAAGTTTATTGGGATGGGTTTGCAGACGTTCTGTTAGGGGTTGAAATGTGCAATGATGATGATGATTCTATTATGTATCAAAGCAGTGCTTTCTTGCTTCCTTGTTTCAAACATCGTGATAAAAGTCATAAAAGTGTTTTTAGTCGTTCACGAATCATTGTCGCGAATGTCACGAAAATCTAAGAGCTGGAAAGATTTTTTATTTGGATTTTTTTTCTGATTGATGTGAATGAATTAAAGTAAATACATTTTGAGAATTAAATAAATGTTTAAGTTTATACTGTGATAGTTGATTAAAAGATATTTTAAAGGAAAGAAAAAAAATATAAAACATAAAATGTCAACAGCTTTTCTCGTGGATAATATTTTGAATGAAGAGAAAGACGAACAAATGGATTCATCGGGAACAATTTCAGGTTCAGATGAAAGCGATTCCGAACATAATTCTGATTTAAAGGATTCACTTTGTGACTCACCGAAAAGTTACAACAGCATGCATCATAGAAATTCTCCACTTTCAGAAGATGAAATAATTAGAAGTTACACAGTGATTCAAGAGCAAGCGGATAATGCTGAAAATATCAGTGAATTTAATTGTGCAAAGTGTGGTCATTTGAACGAGAGCTTGAAGTTGAATAGTGAAAATATTGATGACAAATGTGAAAAGTGCGGTTTTCATAACGACTTCTTTCAGCATTCGAAAGAAACACGCATTAAAGAATTGCCAAACAAACCTGTCTTAAAATTTAGCGTTTCAGCTATTTTGAGTGATACGAAACGCGATTGCGTTAAAGTTAGAAATGGTAATTGATTTGTTTATTAATTTAATTCCAATGAATCACTAACAACACTTTAAATTTCAATCGTCAATATTCACCCCCATGACAATTGATCCGATATAAATATTTATGAATAGAAAACAAATCACATTCATCAATAATCATATTTAAGATTTATTTGAAGAGTGAGTGGGAGAAATTAAGTGAAAACCATTTGGCTACTCATTTGATTCTCGATAAATTTTGTATCAAATTTCCTCGTTTTCACTTAACAAGATGAGGGAAGAAATGGAAAATCAATTTGTCCATAAAAGAAGTAGATTCGATTACATGAAAATATTTACACTGAAAAGAATGAAAGTCGCCTGTTCATCTTTAAAAAGAAGGAAATTTGTTGAACATGAAGATTTTCGTGAAAAACTTAAAGAAAAATTTCTCTTCTCCGTGTTTGCCAGGGAAACGGCTTTTTGGATAAATAAAATTGAAACTAAGTGAGGTGCCAGCTGACGCCATCATCCAAATTAAAGTCGTTGTCTCCCTCTGCTACTTTTATTATTCCTTCCATAAGTTTCTTTTCTCTCCATCCTTTTCAAGAAAACTTTTCCGATTTTCCAGTTTATAAATATTAAAATTTCTTTTCATGTGTTATTTTCTTTTATAATGAGTTTTGTACAGCCTAAAGATATTATTGAAACGAATTAAATAAAACTAAAATATTTTCCACCAAATAAAATCTGAAATGAAAACAAGGCGTGTTGCTAGAGGATTTAAAAGAACATTCAATAAATTATTATTCTTTATTCACCAACAAATCTCATTTTATTATTTATAAACTCCTTTAGATAAACAACCCTTAAATGCTATGACGAGGTTCTTTTTTATATTTGTCTCGTATTTTGAAGATTCTTTTAACAAGGCTGTAAAAATATTGAATTTTTTATTTGGAATGGGAAGCAATTGTCTCTCCTTAAATGCTTTTTTAACCTCACGAAAATCCTCCAGATCTAATCCATCTTTTGTTTGATTTTTGCAACAGAACATTGTGTTGTAACAAAGAAAATAAGAATTGAAATTCAGAACCCTCAGGATTAACATGATCAGAGCCTATTTGTTGCTCTATTAACGTCGTTATTGTAAATAATATTAAACCGACAACAAAAAAGTTCATGCAATGTAAAAACTAGCAATCACTTAATTTTATGTTATTTTTTAAGCGCTATTGTTTACAACAATATCTATCGTATTGAGGGGATGTCCCGATGATGACGATTGTTAATAATTTCCACAATTTTGCGATGAAAAAAAATTCATATTCACATTTTATTGCATTTTATTTACAACATTTTTATTTGAATGTTTTGTGGGCTGGTTGTCGTTTATTAATTTGTCGTTAAATGGCTTTTGCTGTTTGTTTTTTATTTATTTTTTTTTGTGTTTGAGAAATTTTTTAAACGTCATTCATCACGTCATTGCTTGGTGGCAGAAAAATGAGAATCTTCTGCGGACAACATGAAAAATTAATAATTTTATTGATTTTTCATGTCATGAAAATATGTTTGAGAAAAAGTTTTCAAACTCTCATTAATCTCTTCGTTCAGTTTCAATTCCTTCATTCACCCATATTCATGTTCTCATCTCACATAAATCTGTTACCACGGAAAGTTTATCTTTTGCAAAGTTTTTCCACTTCACGCATGTGAAAATATAATTTAATTCAGACGATGAGATCGTAGCATAAGATATCTCGACATTTAAGATGATGCGAGCTGTAAATTAGAGTAGAATGCTGTTTGTTAGCATTTTGAAAGCGTTAATAAATTCTCACTCGATTTAACACCTTCAATCATTCATATCTGGCAGATTTTCTTCTTCATAAATAAATATTAATGATGTTTTTGTATAAAATTAAGTAGATATGAATATTTTGGATAAACAAACAAGGACCTCCGTGAGTTCTCAAACGCCAATGAAAGAGATAATTAAACAGTCGTCAATAATTTCTAAATCGTCTTCAGCTTTTTTTGTAAATTAATGAATGACATCAAAGAATTCTATTTAAGTAATGAAATTTTAAAAAGTCATTCCTTGACGCACCTAACACTTGACCACTGAATTTACGACAATGTTTATAAACAAAGCTATACCGAAAGGTGTTAATCGTTAAGAATAATTACTCGATAAAAGCTTTTTTTGTTTGTTTGTAATTACCTATATTAACGAATATCTTGCTGCGCATTGTGACTGAAAAAAGATAAAACAAAATGCGAATTATTTAATAAGATGCTTTTACATTAATCTTGTTTGATTTCAATCAAGATTAAAAATCATCCTTGAAACAGCAGATCCTTGTGTTTCTCTACGGGACATGAACACATTAAAAGCACCACTAAACTCGCTCTCTTATTTAGGAAAGAAACAAAAATTTATTTAAAACTCAATGTTATTTTAATTTGCAAAATGTGATGAAAAAATGTTAGGCAAGTCAATTAACTTCCTGAAATGTTACTTAATGTGTTGAGTTGCTAATTTGAAATCTTTCGTTTCGATATTTTTAGAAATGATTTTTCATAAAACAATAATAATAAAAGATTGGGAAATACTTTGATGAGTGATGATGCTGGTGCGAAGTGGTTTTTTCTGGTGATTCTTGAATAAATTCTTTTAATTTGTGACAAAATTAATCTCAAAACTTCCCCATAACGAAAAATTAAAAGCTTTCAAAAAATTCTCCAATCCGTTCCATCATCACTTAAATATTTCAATTTAGCAACATATATTAACATAACAATTTGCAATTTTCCCACAGAATTTATTCAACCACAAAACCTTTGGCCTTATATTCAACAAAATTTAATTCAACAAAATCATCTCGTAAATCCCGCTTTCATTACAAACAATCACCATCATCCGCATCATTTACATCCGAATTCCAACAATCTATCGTCGCACGTGAATGGAATTAACAACAATAATAATATAAACGGGAGTGAATCTAACGGTTTATCGTGTAATAACAACAATAGTAGTCCGGAGCATCATGTTGTCGATAGTCGTGATAATAAAGTTATAGCCAAACCACTACCTAGTCGTCCATTTATGCATCATGGAATTAATCATCCTCACTTGCATTCACTGTTGGCACACTGCAGGAATCCATACATGACAGGTAAATAATTAAATGAAATTAAATTCAAAGTGCGAAGTTGTAATATGTAGAAATTTTGTTTTGTTTTACTTATTAAATTTCAGGAGGTGGACCGCAAGTTTTCCCACTTCCCCCAGGTGAATAAATATTTTGTGTACGAGAGAATGCAACATGTTAACATGTAATCATTTTGTTATCGAATATTTTAGGACAAGGTTTCCCATGGGCACATTCAACAAGAGGAAAGCCTCGACGGGGCATGATGAGGCGGGCTGTGTTTTCAGGTAAATTAAAAACAAATGTCAATCTGACAGAAGTCAATTAATTCAAAACATTCTTGTTCGATTGCTTCTTCTCTTCTCATTTCATTGTTGTAGATTCACAAAGGAAAGGTTTAGAAAAACGATTTCAGATACAAAAGTACATCAGTAAGCCTGATAGAAAGAAATTAGCTGAACGTTTAGGGTTGAAAGATTCTCAGGTAAGTTTAACAACTGATTAAACATTTCACTCCTAACTAAGTGTGTGTTTAAAAGAGTCAATAAATCACTTTTCCTTTATCTTATTAACTTTACTTTTAAAACATTTTCATTATCAATTCAATTAAAAGAGAAAAAGTTAATCAAAAACCAGTCAAATTTGTCAGAAAAAATTCTAAACGTTTTTTTTTTCTTCATTTAATTCTGAGAGGCTCCGCCTGCATTTTTAAAACCACTAAAGTATTCTTCATGCTTCTCTCCCGTGTATAGAACATTAAAAACATATATTTTTTCGTTCACCAATATTAACAGCCCAACGACCGAAGCGCAGACGCAATTGACGATGAACAAGCATGAAAGTTGATTGTTCTGCAACGATTTAGTTTTTCTTCTTTTTCTCCTCTTGTTTTCTCGACTTTCGTCGACAAATAAACTGAAAAATGATTTCCTAACGAATCATTTATTGTTTTGACTTTTCATCTCAAGCCATTTATCGTAAACAAAATTATTTTTGATAATAAAGTTCATGAACTTTATATCACGGGCACTTTACGTCGATTTCTTACACTCTCCACTTGAAACTGTACCCCCGCAAAGCAGTTTCAAGTGGAGAGTGTGAATTATCTCGCTGTGACAGGAAATCTCGCTGTGACTCGGACTTAGCGACTTTGTATAATTTCCTAAGCAAACTGAAATTTCTTTCGGAAAAATCAAAATAATTTAATTAAATTCCAATCCCTGGTTAAAAGGCTAACAAAATGATTTCGAAAGAAAAATTATTTAATTGATGGCTTACTTTAATTACCAACTCATTATGCGCGCGTACTTGAATATTGAACAATCAACGATGTGCGTAACCATCATCGTTGAACTATTTACCGACCTATTCATACCTTGATGAGAACTCATAAATAATTTACCTCGAGATTGTTTCGTGAAGATGTTTCGCTTTAATGAACCACAAAATGGTCTTATCATCATCAATGATTTCTTGGTTGCCGAGTGGTTTCTTCTGCTTATCTACATCGTCTGTGAAATTATCGGCTCGGCTATAAACATAGAAATCAATAAACATGAAGATAAAAACCACATCAACAAAACCAGTAACTAACCATGCAATGCACGCGGCTAAATGCTCATAAAAAAGGGAGAAAGCAAGCAAACAGACATTGGAACGTTCGCTACTTACAAGAACAATGAAAACTTTTATTCTCTTTGCGTCATAAAAACACTCCAACCAAATCGTATTATAACACTCCGGGCTATGAAAACCGATTAATTTGTCTTTTTTCTCTCTTCCATTCATCATGTTTAAGTATTTAGTGCTTAGAAAAGAAAAATTCTCTGTTTCCATCTACGAGAATATTTATTGTTCTTAAATAAAAATCTCTGCAGTTGACAGTTTCGACTTTGATGTTTGTTCTTGTAAAAAGTACGCACATCAGAATCAACAAACAAACTAACATACGTCCGTTGTCGTTTGTTATGCTTACATCGAAATAATATTCGACCCTCTTGTAAAGAAAGATTTCAATCCAAGTGAGATAAAATTTGGTTTAAAAATGTGTAAGCAATTTCCAAAAATCACCTTCGAATCATTACGCTATTCATGGAGATTTTCTATCAGAAACACAGCAAAGTCTTTCTCAAAATCGCAACCGAGATGTTGATGTTTCATGACGAGGGTACTTGAGAACTGCCATGTTCCAGTATTTAAAATAAAATATATTAATTCCAGCCGTGGAAACGGGAGAAAAGCCATTGACGAGAACATAATTTGATTAATTGAATCTCCCCAAGAGGAAACTTTTTCAGATGCTCATGAATTTGATGGGTTTAATTTCGATGGAAAGAAGCAAAAATGATTATTGGAGGTGTGGATGTGGAAATGATGTCGAGGTTCAACACTGACTGCTTGTGATTTTGAAAACTTAATAATCTCTTTTTTGGGGGGGGGGGGCAAGATCACATTGAGAGAAGAGCATAATTGTTACAGTCAGCGTGCGTTTGCATGGCGAAGTTTCTAATTCCGATTTTTTTTTTCATATTTTTTTGGTAATATCCGTGGCCGATTTTCGATATTACGAATATAATTTCTGAAAAATAAAAAGCCGACATTGAACTATTTAAAATCTCAAAAAAAAGATTGAATGAATGAATTTAATGAGTTTTTTTACAAGCAAATTTTTTGGAAATAAGTAAGCAAATTGTTCCAAGGGCGTCATGTGAGAGTTGCGTTCAATGTTGAAGCGTTTAGCAAATAATGTCTGCATCAACGACGATATTGTCTGAAAAATTGCAATCGATTAAACGCGTGTAGCATTGAAACATTTCTATTTCGATTGAGCAATACATCAATTAATTTAAATTAACTTGGAAATGAATGAAGAGATGTGAAGAATGAAAGGAAAAGGTTGGTTAAGTTGCAAGAACAGGAACAAAATTTTCCTTGTTCCTTTCCTTCTGACAAATGATCGATGAATGGATGATGAATGTTGTCAAATTTTACGCCTGTTTAATTTTTCTCCATTTCAATAAAAGAACAAATCAGATAAAGGCACTAAATAAGGCTCATTTCAATTGTTCAAATGATCGATGAAAGTTATGACTGTTGACAACTTGCCGCTTTTTGTGCAACTTCTGCCACACAAATGAATTAAATTTGTTACGCAAATTTATTATAAAAATCGATAAATGATACGAAATGAAAAATGAAGCCACGATGTGTGTGAATAAATGTAAAATTTCTTCCTTTCTTCGGTTATAATTCAACGATGGAAAGAAAGAATTCGTTGCCGTGTGATTCGATGTGGAAATTTCATTGTTGATGACTTGAATTTATAACAGAAATCTTTTTCCTCGCTTCTGTTACGCCAGTTAAATCACTAAATGATGAAAAGAATGTTCATGTGCACTCGAAAAAATGTTCGTTGAATGAACTAAACTTCATTCTCATACACAACATAACCGAGAAGAAGTTTATGTTGCAAATGAACAGGAGTCTATGTATGAGAGAATGAATAATTTTCCCATGATGCATCAGAAGTCCACCCACTTTATGTTTGATCATCTCTCACTAGATTAAACTTGAAACACAAAACCATTGTCCACTTAATAGTATTCAGCTCGTTCATTTACTTGCGGGGGAGTTGAGTTGGTGGGGTTGGGGGGAGATGAAGAATTATGCAATTAAAATTATCTCTCATGCTACACAAGCAGCAATGACAAGCGGCAACAATTAAAATTGTCAACATTAAAACAGTTTTCACTTTATTCTATGACGACATGGAAGCAACGAATGAACAAACGAACATATTTAGATGCTTCAGACGCTTCTACAGAGATTATCTTCTCAACTTCCAACCCTCAAAAATAATCACAATGACTTTCTACTTGTGCGTCTGCATTTTATTATTATTGCTCCACAAAATCTTTCACACTTGAAAATGTTTCCGACAAAAACGAGAAATTTACTCACATTTGAATTTATATCCATTAAGTTCCATCGCACTTTAGTGACGACAATTCTGGTGGATGATAACGAATAAAAAAAGTTTTCATTTTCAAAGAGTTTAGACGGGAAATTCTGTGGGTTGCTTGGGAATTAATTTTAAAGAATTTATCGGGATATGTAATATTAAACAACAATAAAATTTTAACTTAAAACGAGTACGGGAGTTGTGAAAAGGTTAAACAGACCTGAGAGTTGTTATACGCTATAATTATCGTCGACTTTTCTCTCTCTTTCTGGTGTTTTGCACTCACACAATATATATCAAGCAAAATGTTAGATGTTTAGTGCTTTTGACAGTTTTTTAAAGTGTGGGCGGACAATCGGCACACGAGAAGCGACAATGTTTTTGAATTATTGTGCTGTTTCGTCTAGCACCCTTTATAATAAACGAAAAACGATTTCAAACAGAAATAAAACTTTTGAAGTTTATACTTTCGAATCTATGCAAATATTTATTGTGTTAAGGAGATGAATTTGATTTTTTTTTTTTTTGTTTTGACATTTGTGCATTTCAGTTCACATGACCTCAAAATTTTGTTTTGATTTTCAAGCTTTTCTCACAATTTAATTAGTTTTGAAAATGTAGACGAATGAGATTTGATTTTAAATTAATTATAATCTACATCAATTAGCTCATTGCATAAGAAGTACCTAAACTTGAAGGTTGTTTCCGCAATTAATTTTACACTTTCAATCGATGAAAAACATTGATATGTAACTTGTAATTATTTAATTTATGAGTTTGAGGAGTTCATGATTATGGCACGTGGCTATTGTTTTTAATTGATTTAAACATCATCTGGTTAAGTAATCAACATAACACGATTAGAAACATTTCTCTCCTTTATCGTCGAATCAATTGAATTGAATTTAAATTATTTGAGGAAACTTGTAAGTTGAAAAATTAATTGACTTATAATGGCTGATAATAAGAGCATAAATGACGTTAAATTTGTGTTTTTCCCCTCTGTTTGTTGCGATTTTCACATGTACTGAATCAATTTGTACTATTTGAATAAAATTGCTTTAAAATCAATTCGATTAGCAATGATTCTCGAGAAAATTTACACATGTTGCAAATTTGTTTGAGTATATTTTGTAACCAAATATAACATTAATATTAGCAAATTGGTGATCGTTAAAAAGACGATTCTTGAATGTCATTGAGTGGTTTCGTGTGTCTTTCTTTCTTCTAAAAGTCACTTAAGTCAAAGCTTCTCAAATATTTAATGTTACTTCATTTATCTGATGGACCTTTTCCTCTAAACATACAAACTTTGTTGTTGACTTAACTTGTTTAGAACAAAGTCCATCTGTTTGCTTCTTCGTTTACGCATTCAATCAACGTCAATAATTTTGGCTAACTAAATAAATAAAAATTTATCTGTCTTATTACTTTAATCAAACAATTATTAACAAAGAGACAAATTGCAGAAATGTGAAAATCAAGCTAGTGAAGATGTTATTTTGAAAAAGGAATAACCTGGACTCGTGTTAAAAGTTCAGGCAACTTAGAAATTTATCAAATTTATTAACTGCGATTTCTTGGCTAACATAAGAATTATAAATTTATCTGCCTTATTAATCTAATGAAAAATTGTTAGCAGATAGACAAATTGTCGAAATTTGCGAATCGAGCTGATGAAGATGCTCGTCTAAAATGGCAAAATCCTGGACTGGTGTCAACAATTTAACATTTTAAAGAACAATTTGGAAATTTATCAAATTTATTCACTGCGACTTCTCTTTTTAAATATTTAACTGCGAGAATCAAGCAAGTTCGTGATATTCTTGTCAAGAAATGTCCATCACAAATTAAGCAAATGCAAATGACAGCAAATGAATCTTCTTCATCTTTTTTTTTATTATTTATTTAAAAATTAATGCTAACGATATGAAATCAAATAGCAATGAAATCATTTTTTAATTCTTATTGTCAGCCCACCCTCATCGCAGTTACTTTCCAGCTATCAAATCCAAATATTTACAGATTAGTATTTGAAGGGAAAGGAAATTCCATTTAATTGCTTTTAAACTTTATTTAATTGTTCAATTACACGAAAAACGCTTGAAGGGGAAGACTGTTTAGATGCAAACAGATTAATCTGTTGTTTGATTGGTCTTTCCTTGAAGCCAAAACATTGAATGTAAGCTGCGGTTGATTGATAAAAATTGTTTTTTATTCATTTGTTTTTAATACGATTTTCCCTGAGGAGTTTGCTTGTTGGAAGGGAAGAATGTCAATGATGTTATCTTTGATTTCATGCATAATGCATATCATTCGCCTTTTATTTATAACATCATTCATTGAGAACATCTAGTGACGTCACTGACTGACGATTAAATCCCTTTCTTCTTTTTCTCAAGATTTTCTTTCGTTGAATGAGTGCCAAGAGTGTTCAGAACATTTCACTGATGATCATCAACGTATGTTACACATTATTATTGTATTTCTTTTCTCTTTCATTCCCGGGAAACATAAAAGAAGAAAAAGTCACCCCATGAAATAAAATTGCGACCCTCAATTCAAAGCATATGTAAGGTTCGATGAAAAAATTGATTCATTTGTTTCTTGTCAGTGTTTACGATTCGAAGGTTAATTTGAGAAACAGATTGAATAGCGAAACATAGAGAGAAAAAATTGCCCCCGTTCGTGATATCATTATCAGACGTTTAAGGCAGGGTAAATAAATTGAGACGAATCGGATTTGAATTAGACTGACGAATGGTGAAAGTCATTAAATGCAAAAGCAACAAATTTCCCGATGATTTACCGACGCAACGAGCTTATCCAATAAACAACTCGACTCTCGGTTGTGGAGAGATTTTCACATTTTTCCATTCTGTTGATGAAACAATAAACTAAAAGTTTTAATTAAATTCAATTCGAATGGAAAACAAATGATAATGGAAAAAATAAACTTTTCTAATTTTCATATCGTTTTTAATTTTAATATTTGGGTTTTGTCTCTTTTGTTTGGGGACCGTGAAGTTTTCAATGATATCAAAAAAGTTTTCCATGCTTTTCATTTTTTCCCATTTTCTTATTTATTCATACTGCCATAAACTTTGAGGGGAAAATGGAGAAAGAAATAATACAAAAAACAAAAGAAATGGCTGAAATAAGTGAGAGAAGGAAAATGTTTCAAATATTAATGACTTCCTAAGAAGGAAATCTTTATGAAATTTTTTAAACGACTTCTGATATTCCTATTTCTATTTAAACAATTCAGTAGACTTTTCACGTTTAAATATAAAATTGCTTGCTATTGAGCCGCAAAAAGGATTCTTGGAAATTTATAGAATCGACGCAAGCAATTCTCAAACAAAAAAATTTATATTTTCGTGCTAGAGACAATATTTAAACACACATTTTAAGGATGATTTAAAATATTTATCAATTAACACTTTTTCGTCTTTCGTTTTAGGTTAAAATTTGGGTGAGAAAATAAAACCGATTCCTATGAGCTTCTGTTCTTGTTGAACATTACTTAACTTTATTATTTTTTTTAAATAGTTTCAAAACCGGCGAATGAAATGGCGAAACTCAAAGGAACGAGAACTGCTTGCAAGTGGTGGTTCAAGAGATCAAACATTGCCAAACAAGAACAATCCAAATCCTGATTTATCTGATGCTAAAACTGATCGTGCACCTTCAATGTCACCGCCGTCATCGATTTCACCACCTAATAGTGATCAACAGCAACAGCAAATGTGCATACTTCGGAATCAACAGGATCAGCAATCACCTAATAAGTCATCACCAATTGATCAGAAATTTATGGTGAAAAAATCAGCAGATTTAAAGTACGAAATTGATGAATTGAATTCGCGTTCGTCACTCCCACCATCAGGAAGTCATCCGCCAATCGGTCAATTATTTAATAACTTTTATGATAACCAATCGTCAGATGGAAGCGTTAAAGGATATAACAGTCAAAACAATTCAATGTATTATGATGAATACGATTCAAATGATTCTAATGATAGCGAGGAAATCAATGTTACGTGAATAACAATATCCAGCTAGAATTATATAATGTAATCAATAAAATATATAATTCATTTCTTTGTAGTGGTTTTCAACAATAACTTTAAGTAATCATTTCAAGTCGCGTGATATTTAAAAGAAGCGACATTTAATAATTTTGTAAACAATTTTTTTTCTTGCAATTGTAAATCATAAAAAAGAGAAAGAAAATTAAAATAAAACGAAATCAGTGTAGACATAAATTTTCATTTTCTATGTTTTGCTTTTTCAGGAGTTAAGAAAAGTTTTTCCTTTATAAATTTTAACGGCATTTGAAAATTCAAACGATGATACAAAACTACTATAAATCATGAAATTCAAGCAGTTTCGTCGGTTGCAAAATTTTATTATTGTGAACTAGAATGAAAGTGAAACTTTGTTCCTTTCTTGATTAAAATTTTCAAATGAAATAAATATTTCTCTCGTTTTATCTTTCATATTTTTAGTATAAAAAAATAAAAAAAAAAATATTAATTGCTTCTGCTGAGGCTCGAACTCAGGACCTCTCGCGTGTAAAGCGAGCATCATAACCACTAGACTACAGAAGCAGGATGAAATCGCCACAAAACGAATTCCCATGTTGGAGCTGCCACTGACAAAATGCCATTTTAGTTGGTTTAGAAAGAATGAAAGAATTTGCAAAATTATTTCTTGATGCTAAAATTATTTTATCATCAACTTTGAAATACAAACATAAACATTTTAATATTTTATTAAATAAATATCCTTTCAGAAAGCATAAAATGTCGTGATTTTAAAATTATTAGAACAATTGGCCGCAATCAGGACAAGTAAATCTGTAGAGAAATGGCGCCGTGGCTTAGTTGGTTAAAGCGCCTGTCTAGTAAACAGGAGATCATGGGTTCGAATCCCGTCGGAGCCTTTTAAAGACAGATCCAATATTTTATTTTCCGCAGTTTTCTTATCAGTTTTAAAAATAGCTATAAAATAATCATGACAAAGTCTGAAACATCATANTAAATAAAACTTTTATACTTTTTAGAGTTTTATATTCTGAATGGTCATATTTTATGCTTGTGTGTGATTCAGTTACGAGTTTTGCCAAAGCGAAATCACCGCAAGACTATCCCATATGGTCTAGTGGCTAGGATACTTGGCTTTCACCCAAGAGGCTCGGGTTCGATTCCCGGTATGGGAAATATTTTTTGTTAATTTTATTTTATTTATATTTTACCAATTTTTCTTAAAAAAATATAACTAGAAATAAATATTATATGATCGTTTGAATGCCGGAAATACATTAAAATATTTAAATTTGTGTAGAAAAATGTTGTAATGTTTTTATCAAGTTTATCTTACTCCCACGCATTCGTGGGTTTCTTTACTTCTTTAATGAATCGATGCGTATGCGTGTTTTATCTCATGTTTTCGTAGTTATTATTCGATTGACACTTCATACAAAGTGCAATAAAAGTCGATGAATATTTTATTGCTGTTCGGGTGTGTTCGATCAAAGCCATTAATTATTTTTATTGACATTTTGTTGCATTCACTTGAATATAGAACGAGTTTATTAATTTTGATTCTTTCTTTCTCATTTATTCATAGGAAGCTCAACTGATTTATCACCATCAGTTATCGGTTACTACGACAGACTCTCGGGCAGCTTTAAAAACGAAAAACTTTTTGGAGAATTACGAGTGAGAAAGTCACCGGAAAAACAAACAGAGGACAAAAGAAAGTCACGTGAGCAATCGCCTAAGCCGAAGTTGATTGTTTCTAAAATCCCAACGAAGCCCACGCGACTTGCAAATAACACGACGATTCTCTCACCAAAATTAAATTCAAATCAGAATAATTTCCATTACAATTCATTAGCAGCAAAAACGTTACAAATTATTTCGCCGAATGTACATCGCATGATATCATCCCATCAAACAACAACAGAGACAATTACGGCAAATCCCACAGTGAAGTCATTTATTCACAGTCTAAATCAAAATAAAAACAACGTAATAGCGAATAAGAAGTCTAGTGATAAGGTTTCAAATCTTCAAGGTAGAAGAATTTTCCTCAAAAGTAATTCACTGAAATCATCAGGATTTGCAGTTCCTTTGACCAAGAATTTATCGAAAATTTCGCAGTCAAATGGGCTTGTAGACTCATCAGAACCAATAGTTCATACTATCACTGACAACAACTGCAAAAGTGAAGACACTTATAAGATTAATGAGTTGATTGACAGTGAAAAAACTCCAACTAAATGCGACCATAACTTCAATTATGATAATTCATTAAACCATGAATGCATCTTTGATGAAGACGAAGACGACGATATTCAAAACGTTTTAAACAGAACGTCAGAATTAATAAATAATTTATTAAGTGGAAATAATAATAGCAATTTAAACTCATTAGACATTCAAGAAAACGCTAAAAATAGTCTCATCGAAGGGGAAAAGAGAGATAATAAAGTGTCATGTGAGAATAATAACGACGAAGCTAAGATGAAAGGTACAAGTCGTCATAAATATAAAGTGCATCTCGAATCGGAAAGTGATGAAGATGTTGTATGCAATGTCATCAACACGTCGAGTTTAAAATTTACAAAGTCACTTGATAATGTCGCTGAGCCCACATCGTCTCCTAAATTATCATATTCTCGAGCAAAACTTTTATCAAATCATCAAATAAATTCGCCAACACATTCGCCAAAACTTTCAGAAAAGTGCCTTGATACTGCTACATTTGCCAGTGATAGCAAGCTTAACACCTCGCCTTCCTCAAAACATCGACCTTTATCAGCCGCTTCCATCAGTAGCTCGTCGTCATCAACGAGCACCGCATCGTCGTCGAATTCTTTCGGAAATGAGAATTTAGTTAATGGAAAATTAATTGGCGGTAATCTTGCTAGCATCGAAAGTTTAGCAGATCACAGTGACAATGAAGTGAATCCTAGTCTAACAATGTGTGAACGTGCTGTATTAGAGATAATTGATTCAGAAAAATGTTATGTGGAAGATCTTGGACAAATAATTAAAGGGTAAGAAAAAATAATTGAAAACAAAGTTAAATTTTTTTAATAATTTTCATTTTTCATTCTTAGATATTTACAAGATTGGAAAGAAAAAGGATGTCTCAAGGTCGATGAACTCAATGTTTTGTTCAGCAACATTCAAGAAATCTATGAATTTAATTCTAGTCTTTTGGAAAAATTTATTGAATCCAATCATGATCCACAAAAAATTTCTAAATGTTTTATTGACTCGTATGAGTTGTTTAATGTGTACACAACATATTGGTGAGTAATAAAATTTAATTATTAGAAGATTTAAAAAGTTAAAAATAAAAATGTTTTCAATGTTTTGTCACGAACATTTCATGTTGATGTTAGTAAAACAAAGTTAAAAACAAAACATGTTTCACTTTCCATATTGTTCTGAAGAATTGAAACATATGAATAAAGCTGTTAAAAATCAGAATAGCTTTTAGCCACAAGTGTTCCATCTTCAGAAGTAAATCTGTTGGCGCCGTGGCTTAGTTGGTTAAAGCGCCTGTCTAGTAAACAGGAGATCATGGGTTCGAATCCCGTCGGAGCCTTTTAAAGACAGATCCAATATTTTATTTTCCGCAGTTTTCTTATCAGTTTTAAAAATAGCTATAAAATAATCATGACAAAATCTGAAACATCATAAAAATTTTCATTGATAGAAATGACACACAGAACAGTTGTAATAAATTTTATATTTTATTTAAACAGTTGTTTGTATTCGTCTTCAACATAAAATAATGAAATTCTAAAAAGATAAAATTTAAGTTTATTGAAACTTCTGAACTTGCTGATTAACCCAACTTTTAGATGATGTTGGAGAAAGCGATTTATCGCCTAAATGTTCAGCATTCTTGTTTACTTTTCTAACATTAAAAATTGCATTTCTGATTTCAGGTGTTTTTAGGTTTGATGGTTTGGCAGGAACTGGTGGTGGAGGTGAATGAACAGTTGGTGGAAATCTGTTGACTAATGATGGTTTCAATAAAATACTGGGCTTCTTTGCAATTTTCGGAGGTGGCACCAATTTCTCAGCTGGTTTATTCACTGTCGCGTAAATATGTTCTTCAGATAATGTTGACTCTAATTTTATTCCATTTGAATCATCGCTATAAATAGCGGAATCTCTAAAATCATTTTCAAGCACACTCTCAGCAGTGTCTTCATAAAATGAGTCTGAAAACGGTTCGCTGTCTTGTTGCATTAATTTCTGATGTTTATCATAAACACTGTCAGTTGATGAAGAAACAACCGAATCTCTTTGATGAAGAGAATTTTTGTTGATAAACGTATTGACAGGCGATGGAAATAAAGTTTTAGGATCAGCATAATCAACATGTGCTATTCGATTACCCAAATCTTCACTGCCCTGTCGATAAACTTTCGGTACGTTTTTCGAAATGAAACCTAAAGGAAAATCAAAACTTTTCTGACTGCTGATGCTAGCGGCAACTGATTTTTGTGAAGTTAGATCATCATCATGTGGTTTCATTGTGATGAACTTATGTAAGAAACTTCTCGATCGTGACATTAAACTCTCATGTTTCTGCAGATCATTTATAGAATCATTCAATGATTGTTCGGCTTTTAATTCATCTGAAGATGAAAGCTGATGAATGGAACTTTGTTTGTTGTAACTTATGTTAAAATCACTGCTGCTTATATTATCATTCAACATTTTCGGAGAATGTTTGCCAACATAGTCACCGTCAATTGTTTCCAAACCTTCATTAGAGTAAGTTAAAGTCACGTAATCACAATCAGAACCATCATCATCATTGATCGTGGTTGATGAGGCAGCATGTGTGGGTGATAAATCAACAGTTTCTTTTGTTGATGATGATGAAGACATTGATAGAGATCGTTTCACAATTGGAGGGGCAAATTTATAAGGAACGTGAACATTTCTCAATAATTCCTCGTATAAAGGTTCAATTGGTTGAACCTCTGCTGACTTTGATTGCCCTTGTGATGATTCTAATTGAATTGCTGCTAAAGCTTCTGATAACTTTCTATTCGATAATGGAGATCGCTCAATTTGTTCCAAAGATTTACGACGTAAAACACCAGATTTTGAAACTTTCTTAAATTCGGATTTCTCAAGAATTGAACGAATGATCTCAGAATCTTTTTTCTTTGAGAAGTTCATGGCGTTGTCGTTCTCATGTGATTCGCTTTCAACAAAGACATTATCACTTTGCTTATCATGACCATCTGTCGCTTCAATAATCTTCAAAATTGTATCATCAGTGTCAGCAATTTCATCACTCAAGTCAGTGTAGAATCTGGCAGTTTCCCGTTTCGCTCGCTTCTGTTTGATTTTCTCAATTCTCTTGGGAAGCGTTTTTGAAGTGTACATTTTGATTTCTAGTGGAGATAATGGTGGCACATCTTCACTATTTCTTCTAGGAACTTCCAAAGAATCTTTTTCCGGATTTCTCGTTTCAGATTTGCTTCGACTTGATTTTAATGTCTCACTCAACTCTTTCTTGATTTTCTCACATTCACAATTATCTTTATGGTCACATTTCTTCGAATTGTCTTTCTCACAAAGATCTTCACGAGAATAAGAGATAAATGATTCCCGACGTTCTTTTATTCGGCCACGTTCAAGTGATGAACTTTTGTTTGCAGCATTTTTCTTGGCTTTCTTCGAACGATAGCGAACTTCACTTCGACGATATTGATGACGTCTTTCCAAATATTCAGGCGTTGATGATGTATGTGGCCATTTCCAGGTATGCTTATCGCTTGGACGTTCTGAATATTGACGGTAAAATATAAAACTTAAATTAATATCCATGAGATATCTAAAATAAAGATAAATTTATATTACCTTCTTCATCACCCAATTTAAACACCAATTCTTTGGCTCGATTTGGTATATCAAAATGTTCCAGCATTGCTTGTTTTATATGTTGAGCCCATAAACGCTTCTGATCACGATTTTTAGCAGTCAGTTTTATTTGGCTTCTTGGATCAGAGAAAGGAAGAACGTGAAAGCTTGTTGGATCGCCAGGTAAATGTTCAACTAACATCAATGTCTTGCACTGTAAAATAAATTAAAATTAAATTTAAAATTAAGAAATTTATGCAAAAGTATGAAATTGAAAAAAAATCCATTAATTGACTCACTGGAATATAAGTTTTAAATTGCAATCTTTTATCTTCTTTCGGCTTTGTAATTATTAGCATTGTCTCAAATAAGAAGATAATTCTCGGTTTGTTATTTTCCATGAGTAGCCCTTCCTGACGTAATTCACCGAGAACAGTTAAATCAGGTCCAAGCCAACCATCTAGAATGCCTGATAATTCTTTGACACGATTTTTTTGCTCAAGTTTCTTTTTGACTTGGTCAATATTACGAGCAACATCTTTCATCATTTCGTGTGCTTCTTTGACTTCAGGTAAATCACAATGCTTTTTTAAGCTCTATAAATTTTAAACAAAAATTATTAAATAATACAAAAAACATTTTTATTTAACTTACATCAAGTAGCAAATGATACTTCAATATCCTTTGAACTGGTTTCAAGAGATAAGAGCCCAACGGTAACGTATGTTTCAACATTTTTTGTGTCGATGTTAAAAGTGAATTTGTATGAGAAGCTTGAAGAAGTGAAGTTAGCAAAGAAATGGCATCAGGATAACTTGTGCTGTAATTAAATAAAAAATAAAATAATTAAAATAAAAAAATTAAAAAAAAATTGTAAATAGGCTCCGACGGGATTCGAACCCAT